CCCGGTGTCTGTAAAAGTCAATGTGTCCGCCCACACTGTGACCCGTTTCGTTTCGATTTTCTGCTCAATGTCGGGCGGGCCTGAGCAGTTGGGGCCATCGACATGACTTAATCCGTCGTCTCTTCTCAGTAATACCATCTACGATTTGAGTTCCTCCGATCGGGGCCGCAGGTATCCAGATTGCTGATGAAGCTGAGACAAGAATATAGCTGACTGAATGAATAAATGAATGAATGAAAGAATGGAGAGAATGATACAGAAACCCTGTCCTGCTCTACTGCTTTCCCCTCGGTGCGATGCCAATGACGAGCCCCCTGGACGATGAGCTGGAGGGATCGTAAAAGTTAAAAAAAGTCTGTGAGCACCCAGATGGCTGGATTTGGGGGCGTTGTTTATTACCTCTCTGAGACAAGCCCCGTGACCCTTGTTCGTGCTCCTTCGCCTCCCCTGGCTCTCGGCCAGGGTGAAGCGCACTCCAGCCACTCTTCCACACAATTGCTTGCATTTCTCTTGTGAAGCACTTTTACTCTCTTCTGTCCCCGGCACATTGTTTTCCGCCGAAAGGCCTTGTCACTGGGTCCCATTTGGAACCCTCGAGGCACCGTACTACTTAGCCTGGCTTCGATTGCTTTTGTCGGTAGAGCTTCAGACCCCAGATAAAAAGCCCTTCAATGGTGAGGCGAGGCGATGCACTGCCGATGCCGAATGACGTACATACATCGTCGTAGACACCCACTTCAGTTCATTGCGGAGCAACAGACTGATCGTCAGCTTCGGAGCGGAGGAGGGAAAAAAAAGAGGAGAGACTAGGGAGAGCATGACAAAGCTGTTGAATCTCTCACACTTCAGATGCTCGAGACAACGATAAACCATGCTTCAAATGTCTCTCGCTCTGGCGGGCAACCTCGTTGACTGAGAATTCGGAGCTTGAAGCACATCGTTATGCGAATGGGGTAACCGTTAGCCGGTACTGAGCAGCTAGCCAAGTCCCAGCTTAACTCGATACTTGAATCGTGCAGCGACTGCATCCCTACTAAGGAACTCGACTGGTTCTGGCCTCCAACTCCAACCAATAGCCAAGCCCCCGTCCACTGGACTTCGAGACGCTCGTTTGGCCTTGGCCTCTGATGATATGCGTCAATCCGGTGTGGGATAGCGAACGTCAAGCTCACAATTGAAGCCCGATTTTTCAGGTTTCACAATCATCAATAAAGCCAGCGGGAACAACTTTTTCGTCGCGATTCAGTCGAACCCGGGGGGGATATACCGATGTGCAACGAAGCAAATCGAGCCGTCTCGGATTGGAGGGAGGGATACACTGCACGGTGACTGCAGATTTCGTGCGAGGAGGGGAAAAAAGTCCCAGATGGAAAATGGCCCGAGTCGGCCCCCATGAAAAATTGGGCTAAAAGGAAATCGGTGGAGCAATTGGCAAGTCAAGACCAGACAGGAGGAGGCTTCCGTTCCCGCGAGTCTTCCATTGATAGAATATTCGAAGCCAATGGAATGCGAGAAATGAAAACGACAGGCCGCCATTTGGAATATTGGAAAGGGGGCCAGCCAAGTTGACACACAAGGACTCGAAACCCCCTTTCGCTGACGAGTGCGAACAAAACCGAATGGTATTGATAACCTGACCGGACCAGACCAGGTTCGGCGACTTGGTGAGACTCGACGATGCCCAATGGGTGCGGTGATTGAAGCCTCACTTTTCGATTTCCCAGTCTTGGAGGGCCATTCCCTTAAGTGCATCCGAGTGTTCTTTCACAAGACGGAAGGGAAAGCGGCACGGACGTTGACACTTTCATTCGAGAAGAATATTATGCAGAAGGACCTTGGAGTACTTGATGAACGTGCATATCTGTGCAGTTGTAGGTCAATCGCAGCCTTCTTTTGAGGAGCAGTACTTTGCATGGTGCGCAGGTAGAGAGAGACGGAGATATTTGAATCGTAGGTATAGGTACCTTCGTGGTCGCGATTTGAACACGCGTTGGCCTTGATGGAAGACAAGAACCATGAACCTAGCGTGGATGTCGAGCCTGCCAAGGGGCATTTGGGTGAGCCAGAAAGGATTAGAGGGGGAGCAACTTAGCAAGTGAAGTCCAAGAGGTCGATGCAAGACCCCGGTCGAGCAGCCAGGGTTGCAAACCTGGGCTCTGTGGGTTCCTGAACGAGTGCCGGTGCCTTGCTTGAGTGGTTCGGAGTGTACGGAACGCGGCAATGTATCTGTACATTGTGGATATGGCTGCTCTAACTGCAGCTGCAAGGTTGAAGGTCGCCCCCCTCTCCGGTCCCCTCCCCTCCTCTCTCACTCGGGGCCCTTTTGAGGAGGAACCCTAGCGATCCAGGGATCGTGCCTGAATGCAACATTTCACACATGGACGGGCAGGCCTGTGAATGGCTCCCACTGCTCTGTTGCGAATGTTGCAGAGGTCGAGAAGGTGGGGTTCGCCTGGCAGCGCGATGCAGCATCTGGCTGGACGATGACTTCGGTTGGTCTCGTGTGGAACTCAGCCCAGAGAGGTGGTGTGAAAGCTTCTCAACTGCTTGCTTCAGGAACAGGAGCAAAATCCAACAAGCCTTGCTGGACACTTGGCTTTCGGCAAACGAGGAGGAGGTGGGAGGTGATGAGCACCTGCATTCGGAGTGTCCTCTGTCATTTGAGATTGCATTAGTCGGAACGCTCCCTGGACAAGGAAAAAACGACCAGACCTTGCCTTACCACCAAGTTCCTCCCGGTAAGGTTCTGTGCCTCCCCTTGGCGAGGCATGATGTGTCTGTAGTTGTATTGTCCAAGGGGTCGTTTGTCGAGCCTGGGTGTGTGGCAGTGGTGGATGTATCCGTACGGATGCCTTGAATGAGCATGCTTTCCATCCAAGCCGCAGTGCAGAGTCCAGACTACGCATACGCAATACCTACCTCAGCCCAAGTACTTCGTACTGCACCTCAAGGCTCAGGGTGGATGAGGTGAGGTGTATCCGTACCGTGTATGTACAGAGTATTAATTAGGTGAGGTCGGTTGAGGGTCGAGCGCGCGCGGTTCGGACGTAGGTTGACCCGGACGAATTCGCGTTGCTTCCGCGGCGTCGAGATGCAGGGGAACGAAATTGTGGTCTGGGGCTCAGTGCTCACAGACGTTGTGAGATGCTGCGATGTGGTGGGCCTCACATCTCCGGTGAAAAACATTGCGGTTCCGCTGCGGATATGCTCCCATTGCCAATGCCGTGCGTGAGCCTGCATTTCGGGGGTTGGGGTCCACATTTCGACGAGATTTCATCACGACGACTCTGATCCAGCGTAATGAGATGTGAGGAAAGACGTCCGAGTATTCAAGGTCGCTTCAGCGCTTGTTTCCACACCCGTAGCATCGTACCTCTACACACCTGAATATGGAAATTGGCTTATAAGGTATCCGTAGATGACGGTCGTTGCAGTGTGAGGTGGTGTAGCTGACAGAACTGAGCTCTGAGCTTCTGTCCCTCCAATTTGGGAGACCGAGTGCCTTGATGCAGGAGACGTACCTTACCTCCCCAATAGGCATGTATACGTACTGTTGACGCCTTACGGGCCTCAAAAAATATCGTAACAACTGAGGCAGGAAGTTGGAACGATGAGGAAGCTATTTCGGAAAGGAACATCTCAGCGCACCTTCCACACTTCAATTCACCACATCCAAGGGCGGGCAGTACGTGTAACTTGTAAGTAGGTACATCGGTACTACCTAAGGTACCTTATCACCCGACGAAACCAGATACAAAATACTTTGATTAATGCAATGGAAAGATCCCGCTCGTCGCGCTTGCACTTGACTTCATCATTGCTTCCCCGGGTAAGGTACATTCGGGTTAGGCATACGGAGTAGAGATGAAAGGAGACGAGCAAGATATCCGGATCAAGTGCCGTCGGGTGTACATATCACGCGCTTCACACCAAGGCAAGGTAGACACGGAGTAATAGCTTTAGTTCAAACCCTCGAATGCCCGACAAGTCTAGCGGCCCACGGGTTTCCTGCTCTTCTCCAAAGTCAAACGCTGCGTCCGGCTAATGCATTCTATGTGTGTGCCACTGTGGGACTGGGGCGGAGTTTCTCCAACACGTCTGCGCTTTTTCCCTCGATGTCGTTGGAGTCTTACTCTTGACATCCGAACACCGTTCTTCTCCAGTCTCCAGAGTCCATTGTCCACTCATTCTGCCGCCCACCGAGCTACCTGCTCCACCACACCACACCACACCTGAATATACGCTGTTATACCAACACCTTCTTCACGCGGCCTGCTTTTCGATACCACCTACATCGTGTCTCTGTCCAGACCCTACTCGGTGTCTTTCCTTCTGCCCCAACTACCTTACCTTGCGCTAGTACTCACTACAGACGCAAGAACCAAGGCCAAGACGACAAACCTTGGACCAGATAAAGCACGTGTGGTTACAGCGTTGAGTGCCAATCAAGCGTTTGCCCACATGCCTTGGGCAGCACGAACCCATTTGCCCAACCAGACTCCTTACGCTGGGACGCTCTCCCCACTTCTTCCTCCTCTTCCAGTCGGGTTGATTGCATTTTCAACCTACCTAGCTCATCGGGGGACCAGCTGCCTGCATAGAAGGCTTCTCAAGACTCAAGGCACGGCTTACGGCTACCTTACCGCAGCAACTTAAACTCCGGATGCAAGGCACCATGGCACCGCGCTGGAGTTTGGACAGGCAAAGCCTGCGTAAAGCGCGCTAAAGACGTCCAGAACCGCGCTTAGGTATGCCATCTGCGTTTGCGGCATCGCCTCAAGGTGAGGTTGGCTGACGTGGGGAGTCTCCAGCAACATTCTCGACGCCTTACCTAAGACGACGTAGCAGTCGGTTTCAACAAAGCACCGTCACCTGCTTTTCAGCCGGCGTCGTCCCTCCAAATTCCCGACTCGTCTCCCGAGGCTTGCCGAATACCGTCGGTCTATAGCCGTAATAATACAACTTTGGACCGCAAGTTTCCTACCAGATAACTGAAGGCCCGAATCAGCGGAGATGGGCGTCGCGCCCTGGAAACTGACCGCCAACGGTTGAACCAGAGGCGCCCAATCGCCGTCTTTGCTCTAGTCGAGACCACGTTTCTTTCCATCTATACATACACCCTGAAGCATGCTTCCAAGGTGCTAGGTAGCCACCTTCGATTGTGGTGTGGCATACCTAGCGTGTGTGTGAGCGTTTGCGTGTGCATGTGTACCTCGCCCCTCCTCCAAGGCTCCAACACTTTCTTCCTCGGCATGGTCTGGCCCGTCACGCAGCCGTTGGATGTTCTTGGGGCGATCTCAGCCTCACACAAGGCGACTACCGTCGATCATCTCAACCGACGCCTGGTTGATCCCCGGAGCTCGCCATGAATTGCTCACTCGCCAAAAGAAAGTCAGCCCGCAGAGATATCCTTCCCCAACCTCAGTCCGATCTTTCATCCACTCAAGCACATGGCCTCAAAAAAAGAATGTAACGTCGGAGGGTGTTTGGAGCACACGTTGGCAGCTCGAGTTCAATAGCCTCGTTATCGCATCGTCTAGCAGTGTTCCGATCTTGCCTCCCTCCCCAAACCACAAACCACTACCCACCACCCCATCTCGTCGTCTCAAGCTGCCATCACCGCCTCTGCCGCCACCGTTATTGCGCCTCGCCCGCCGTTCGATTGGCTCAGAACCTTTGCCGCTCCCTCCTTGCATCGGGATATACGCCCCATGTTCTCCCACGTTCTTGTCCAAAACGTACACGGCAATAGCAACGGCTTGCTCATCTCAAATGTCGCCTTGCCTGATGCGGCGAAACCAGCCGAGTCGTGCTGTCCACCAACTCCAGCTTCACCCTCCGATTCAACCCATTACCGGAAGAACAAAGCCGTCACCGAAAACGGCCATCAAGGGGTGAAACCAGCTCCACGAACCTTCGATTCACTCGTTCCATGCTTCTAGAAACCTTCGGAGGACAGGACAGGCTTGAACGTCTGTGCTCTCGCTGTCGTCTCCTTTAGGGGTTACCTTGTGTGGGAAATTGAAACAAGGCCCTCGGCGGACGCACTTCTGCAACGTTGGCAATAGGGGCACCATCACTAGCCTTGACGCCAGAGATGTCAACGCGCTTGCTCACGGACCCCTCTAATAACGTCCACATCTTCAACCCGCCCGCAGCTTTACACAGGTGCCAGCTTGTGGTCTATGATTCTGGCCTGATAATGACACACGGGGGCTACCTTCACTCTCTCTCAGACCCGGTTTCAATGCGCGCCGAAAATTCTTTCACGGCCGCTCCGTAAGGTACACGTACAACCGTTGCAAGTGGTCATTGCACGCGCTAGTTAAATGAACCGTATCAGCCAAAAGACATCTATGTCGCGACAATAGCTACTGCCACCACTGCGGTCAATGACGGCAGGACAGAGAGAGGGTGGTCCAGAATCGCGCTTCCGAATGTCGATCCTGAGCATTCCAACACTAGGTTCTAGATCCTGGCATTGAACCATCATCTAATAATCAAATTGGGTGTCGACTTTGACTCTTGCGTTGCTTCATGGTCCAAGGTCTGGTGTCTATCGGTTGCAGTTGGGATAAGGACAAGAAGACCCGAAGACACCACGTTGCTTCTCCGCGAATTGCATGGACCAGGTATCAAGGTGTAGTAGCAAGAGCGTTGACGCTAAACCGACCGCTTCCTGTCAACCCATCCAACTAGTGTCTTGCCGGACATGATTCCTCATCTCTTCATGCCTGCAATTCGCTCTCCTGCTATCAAGCGCAGCCGGTAATACCGACAGCAGACTTGTCCAAAGCTCCAACACCTCTGGACCCGTGCTGGTACAAGAGACTGCGAGCTACACCGTGCAGATAGACCGGAGTTGGCCGTGTCGAAGCTGTCCCCTAGCTGTGTCCTAGCCGCGTGACTCCTTTGCGTAATTTGGGCTCACATAATACGAAGTAATTCCCCTTGAAAGGAATCTCGCCCGCAGATACGGGGCATGAGGCAAGTATACATCATAGGCTGGCATTGTAAGAGCTGCCTCTGTTCTATGAATACACGGGGGTGGTAGTACAACAACAAGATGAAAACATTGCCTGGCGATGCTATCATGAACGCCACACATTGAATGAGATTTCTATCTCTTGACCCAGGCGGGCATCTTTCTGGCCTTGACATGACCATGCTTCTTTCTCTCGACTTGTCTAGGATCGCGGGTAATGCAACCAGCTGTAGCGTCATACTTGTCAGTAACAGATTGAAGATCAATCTCACAATTGGAGTTGACTTACCCTTCCTTAGTATCGGCTTGAGAGCTGGTTCGTGGACCATGACAGCCTTGGCAATTGCCAATGTAAGAGCCTCGGCCTGTCCGGTGACACCGCCGCCTTCAACAAGAGCCCACACGTTGTACTTGTCTGTTCTCGCAGTGCTCCGGAGCGCCCAGATGGCGCTCTCACGATCATGAACTCTGCCAAATGCCTCGTTCAGAGGCTTGCCATTAACCAGCATCTCTCCGGTACCCTCCACAACCCAAGCGCGGGCGCTCGACGTCTTCCTGCGGCCAACACCTAAAGCGCGTCCATATCTGTCGAGGGGCACAACCTTGGCCACGTTCTTGTACGGATCGATGTCGCGCTTGAATTCCTGCAGGGCTTCTTTGACCTCGCTGGGCATCAGTCCGGGGTGGATCTGATGCAGCCGCTTGACCATGCTAAGAACTTGGCTGAAGGGCATCGCCTTCACTGGTTCTCCTGTGGTCTGTCGATAACCCTTCAAGTTCCTCCATATTTGTCGGGGGACCAATTCCGGGGGGGCCAAAGGAAGGTGCTGGTATCTCTCCACGAGAGCAGAAAGTCGGATGTAGGCGTCGTTGAAGCGAGGCTCTCTGGAGAAGTAGGACGGTGAGACGGGTAGTGGACGAGCCTTCGTAACGCCGAGGAAGGGCTTCTCGGGAGGCAGATCTAGCTTTGTGTCGACCTTGGGTTCGCTGTTTTCAACTTGAGGATCGCTCGTAGTCGACATGCTCTTGAAGCTCGATTGCAGGCTCGATCGTTGCCATTGAGGCTTCATTGACTGACCCTTTGCCAATTGGCGCAAGCAGAGCGTCTGCTGCAGGCCATAGCGTAAGCTCGACATTGTTGTGGGACCTCGAGCAGCGCCCTCGTTGATGTGGTTGCTGTCGCGATATCGTGAACTGTAGACAGCCTTGAACACCAATAGACAGAAATCTTTCCTAGCTTCGTAGCTGGATTACGGCAGAACATCGGATGATGACAGAGTCACGTGGTGTGGCGTAAGCGCCACAGACGCTTGGACCCTTTTCTTGCCGCACTTTACCCCTCACACACCGCAGCTGGTTGCCCTGGCGTTCGAGCTGCCGTCAATCGAGCGAGGGGCTTTCGGGTGGCGGGGCACTGCGGTTGAAATTTCATTCAAAAAAATTACTGTCACCCTGGCGGGGAACCCGAACTTTTCTCTCTCCTCTCTTTTGTCCATCACATCACGCACCTTTTGATACCCTTCCATCCCTCTCGGTCAAACAACTGATTCAAGATGGCGTTCGGAAAGCTCTTCACCTACCCGGTAAGAAAAGAAACCCCAAATTACTTTTCAACTTCACGATGTCTAGGGATCTAATCGTTAACGAATATCGTCACCCCTCCAGGCTAACCCCCGCACCACGGCCATCCGTGCCGTCGCGAAGGCCAACAACGTCGACCTCGAGTTTATCGAGGCTGACCCTACCAAGCCCTCCGTTGAGCACTTCAAGGCCAACAAGCTCGGCAAGGTCCCAGCCTTCCTTGGCGAGGATGGCTACCCTCTCTCTGAGTGCATCGCCATTGCCATCTACAGTACGTTCTGAGTCATCCTTTGCCGCTCTCGTTTTTCGAACACACAAAAACAACATACCACGATTCGCGATATGATGATCAAGCTTTTTCAAATACAGTTATCCCTGTCTGAATTTCTTTGTTGACATAGTCTAAATTTCTGATCCTACCATTGGCACCGTTTTCTCACTACTAGAAATTGTTTGGGGAGCAAGAGCTAACGAGATGCCACAGTCACCTCCCAGAACGAGAAGACCACCCTTCTCGGCAAGACCAAGCAGGAGTAAGTGCACTGGAAGCGCATCTTCCTCTCGTCGAGCTCCGAAGCATGAGGCTAATAATTCTTCATCTAGCTACGCCTCCATTCTCAAGTGGATGTCCTTCGTGAACTCCGAGGTCCTCCCCCCCATGGGCGCCTGGTACCGCCCCCTCCTTGGCAAGGACCCCTACAACAAGAAGGCTGTCGAGGATTCCTCCAAGGTCGCCCTCAAGGCCATCAAGGTCATTGAGGAGCATCTCCTCAGCAACACCTACCTCGTTGGCGAGCGCATCACCCTCGCTGACCTCTTTGCCGCTGGCATCATTGCCCGTGGCTTCGAGTTCTTCTTCGACAAGGCGTGGCGCGCGGAGAACCCCAACGTCACCCGTTGGTACCAGACCATCATCAACCAGGACATCTGGACCGCCGTTACCGAGAAGCAGGAGTTCCTCGAGACCCCGAAGCTGACCAACGTCGCCCCCAAGAAGCCTGAGCAGCCCAAGAAGGAGGCTGCCCCCAAGCCTGCCCCCGCTCCCGCTGCTGAGGAGGCTCCCGCCGCCCCTAAGCCCAAGCACCCCCTTGCTGAGCTCCCCCGCGCCACCTTCGACCTTGAGGAGTGGAAGCGTCAGTACTCCAACATCAAGAACCACGATGAGGCCATGCAGTGGTTCTGGGACAACGTCAACCTCGAGGAGTTCTCTCTCTGGAAGGTCAAGTACAAGTACAACGACGAGCTCACTATGACGTTCATGTCCAACAACCTCATTGGCGGCTTCAACAACCGTCTTGAGGCTTCCCGCAAGTTCATCTTCGGATGCGCTGCCGTCTACGGCACCAACAACGACTCCGTCATCGAGGGCGCCTTCGTCATCCGTGGCCAGGACTACAAGCCCGCTTTCGATGTCGCTCCCGACTACGAGAGCTACGACTTCGAGAAGCTCGACGCTTCCGCCCCCGAGACCAAGAAGTTCGTCTCTGACTCTTGGGGATGGGAGGCCCCCACTACCCACAACGGCAAGGAGTACCCCGTTGCCGACGGCAAGGTCTTCAAATAAGCGCATCGCTCAATGGAGTGATCCAAAATTCATGGCTTATGGCAGAGATGAAATGAGTTTACGAATAGGCTAGGAGGGTGGGCAGATGATGTTATGGACCCGAAGAGGAATATCCTGTGCGTAATGCCCACGGTTGTGTGCCAAGTTACTAGGTCTGAGTCACTAGGACGAGGCAGAAGATGCAGGTTGTTCCTGATCAGAATCAAAAGAACACTTTTCAATTTCACTCCAAGGCTCCACGTGCATATTACTGAATTAAATGTGATGCTTCCTTGAGCTCATGTTAAGGGGTATCTCGATGCTACCAAGTCTTGTCTCCGTATCCAGTGCCTTTTTTCCAACCTCGCATATGTCCAGGTTCTTCCAAAGACTCCTTCTCCATCACTTTCCTACGCTGAGCCCTGCCCGTTACTCTCCTGCTGCTGCTCCAGCCTGTATGCATTGTTGAGCTGGAACGGATTCGTGCGCATATACGCGCTGATATCCGACTGGTAACAGAGCTGGTTGAGGTAATCGTGAACCTGCGGCACCACGTAGCCCGGCTCGCTAGCGTCGCCAAAGAACTCAGGAATCTGCAGCAGGTTGTACGGCTCACTCCGCGCCTTCTCGAGCGAGTCGTCCACGAGAACCGTGTTGGTCTGGTCCCACCGGCCGCCGTACGCGGCGTCTGGATGCGCCGCCTGCACGTTGGCCTGGGCCCAAACCATCTCCAGGCGCTTGTAGACTTGCACGCGGAGCTTGAAGTCGGCCTCGGAGAGACCGAACTTGTCGCGGCCCCAGACGGCCAGGACGCGGCGGCGGTACGAAGCCCGCTCTTCTTGGGTGTCTGCGGCGCCGAGGCCGCCCTTGAGGAGGAGCTGGTCGCACATGGACTGGACGTTCTTGGGCTGGGCCGAGGACCAGACGACGACGTGGAATGTGTCGAGGCAGTATTGCAGGAAGCGCTTCGCGTGGGGCCGCTCGACGAAGCTTGCGGCGTTGCGGCGGTTAGGTCGGAAGAGGAGAGTGCCGTTGAGGTCCATTACGACGAGAATCGGTCGAGGGGTCGGGACGAGGGTCGGCGGGAGGGAGGCCTGCTGGAGGTATTGCGGCGTGGGGTTCGGGACGCCGCCTGAGGCGGCGCTGGGGGCTATGATCTTATCACGGTTGTGCGGCACCGCGGCTCTGTCGAGAGAGAGGGAATGTTAGTCTTTGCGACAGCATCGGAGGAGAGCAAGGGACCGCAAAGAGACAGGGTGGGAAAGGGGGGGGGAAACTCACGCTTTGCGGGGTCCCTTTGGGATTGTGGGTTGATTTCCGGCGGACGATTTCTCGGGGAGAGGGGTCGCGGAATTCGAGGCGAAGGGAACGTTGGCGGCGTTGCCGAGGCCCGGTATCGTGAAGCCGTTACTGCTCGGCTGCTGGTTCGATGGGGCGGCCATGGCCGGGGCGGGCTTGGCCCACCATTGTAGGTCAGACATGCTTTTGTGTGGAGTGTAGACGAGCTTCGAATCGCGCGAGGGAGTCGTGGGAAAGGGAAGGTATGGTTCGTTGTTGTACTCGGGGAGTGTGTCTTTCTGAGGAAACTCGCGGGTTGAGCGACCTGAACGCTTGCGCGCGACGGTTGTGTAGAAGCAACGTTGGTGGATCTGTTGCGATCTGGCGAATATCCGGGGAAGAGAGGGTTGCATGGATGGATGGGCTAGATTTAGAGTGGGAAGTCGAAGTCAATTGAGCTGAAGGTGAAGAAAGATTGGTCTAGCTTCTTCCGTAGTAAGTGAACGTAGGTCGAATTTACTGTTCAGAGCGTATTCAGTGTCTTTTTTTGGCTTCGATGCGATTAGTGGAGAGGAAGTTATTCGGACTGGGACATCGCATTCAAAGGAAGTTTGTGAGGCAGATGTTATCGATAAGTTGCCGTTCCTTATCGATACGAGATCGCTGGTCACTCAGACCCACTGAAAAGTTGCTTTGAGGTGTGGGTGAGCCTCCTTCATGTGAGTTCTGACCCTTCAAACTACGACCATCCCATACAGTGCACCTTTCAGCTTCATACAATCAACGAAAAATAAGACGAAATGCTGTCTGGAAAGAGGAAGCAAGGATTTTCGGGCCTTCAGCGCCGCGTAAAGCCTCGCAGAGAAGCGGAACCCGAAGTCGATGAGCAAATCAGCAGTGAGCCTGAGGAGATGGGAATAGATGGAGATGAGTTGAGTGAGGACGAAGAGGATGAGAACATGGATGAGGATGATGAAGAGGTATTTACTCCGGGTCATAGCATTTTTGGACTCATTACTAACAGCTCAAAGTCTGATGCCTCACCACCGCCAAAGAAGTCCAACATCGACATCTCATCAGTGTCCTTTGGCGCCCTCGCAAAAGCCCAAGCCTCCATGCCCTCAGCCAAACGTCGCAAGCGCGGCGCATCACCTTCAGAAGACTCAGACTCAGACTCAGACTCAGGCCCGGAAGAAGTCGGCAGAAAATCCAAGCATGGCGCCGACCACGTCAAGCGCTCGAGCAAGCACGCCCCGATGGAGCAGTCCAGCAAGAAGCCCGTCTCCCGCCGGCGCGAAATCATCGCCGTGCCCAAGATGGAGGTGCGCGATCCGCGCTTCGACCCGATGAGCGGGCCCGTCGACGAGTCCAAGGCCCGGAGGGCGTACGCCTTCTTGGACGACTACCGCAAGGACGAGATGAAGCAGCTGCGGGCCGAAATCAAGAAGACCAAGGACGCGGACAAGAAGGAGGAGATTAAGAGGATGCTGCTGTCGATGGAGAGCAAGATGAAGGCGCGGGAGCGCAAGCAGCGGGCAGACGACGTCATTCAGGAGCACAAGCGCAAGGAGAAGGAGCTCGTAAAGGAGGGCAAGCAGCCGTTCTACCTCAAGAAGTCAGAGCAGAAGAAGAGGTTCTTGATGGACCAGTTTGCGGGCATGAAGAAGAAGCAGGTCGACCGTACAATTGAGCGGAAGAGGAAGAAGGTTGTCGGGAGGGAGCGGAAGGAGCTTGACAAGATGCAGAGGAGACCTAGGGAATGAATGGACGTTGCCAGCATGCTTTGATTTTAGCTATGAACCCCTGAATGCATCACGGAAGGTCTTTTATTTTGTCTACGATCCTCCCTGTATTGTGTGTCTACACATTGATCGTACAGTTATGATACAAAATGATACAAAATGATACAAAGTGAATTGAGGGTAGTTCTTCGTATGCCTGTTTTAAGCATTGTATCCGTTCTTCTTCAGACTCTCCTCAAACATCTCGCGGCACCTGACTTTGCTGCCGAGCTTCGCGCAAAGCAAGAAGGCACCACTCAGCTTGCGATGCAGACTGTAAGTCTCCTCGGGAGGCGGCGCAAGTCTCTCGCGGAGCATGACGGGAATGAGAGCCTTGACACGCTCTGTGATGGTCTGGTCGTGGAAATCGTAGACCTCGGGTGCCGAGCCGAGGAAAGGCTCCGCTAGGGTGAGCACCGACTTGACGTGCGCGTCCACCATGAGCTTGCTCTCGTGGCCGGTAAGATATCCGAGACTCTCGGACAAACGTTTGACTCCGTCCCGGTCGGTCCTCGAGGCCGCGGCAAGGAGTTGAACGTACTGGGTAACAAACTCGTCGGGGTACTCCCGGGAAGCACCAAAGTCAAGAAGCTCGAGCTTGTTTGTCTTGGCATTGTAGAGGAAGTTTGTCCAGTTAGGGTCAGTCTGCATGAACTTGAACTCAGTGATCTCCCGGAGACAGAGACGGAGGATCTGGGTGCCGATCCAGTCCTTCTGCTCCTGGGTAAATGATTTGACTCTAGTGACGCCCACGCCCTCCATCCAGTCCATGGTCAGAACGTTCTTCCCGCAGGCTTGCAGGTGGACGTCAGGCACAAGGAAAGTATCTGGTTCGTCAGCCAAGAGCTCCTTGTAACGGATCAGACACTGCGCTTCTCTCTCGTAGTCGCATTCCCATCCCAGCTCAAGCCGCGCGTTGTCAATGGTTTTGTTCAGGTACAAGCCCTTTGGTAGGAGCTTGGTGGCGGTCAAGAGAATGCCCAGGTTGTCGAGGTCGGAATTGATCGAGTCTGCGACTCCTGGGAATTGAATCTTAACCGCGACCTTGCGACCACCCTCCTTCAAAGTAGCACGGTGAACTTGTCCGATGGATGCGGCGGCAATGGGCTTCTCCTCAAAGTCCTCAAATAACTCGCGCCATTCCACACCCAGGTTGGCCTTGAGGACCTTGTCTCTCTGCCAAGCCGGCATGTAGTCGGCACGGTCCTGCACTCTCTGTAGAACCTCCTGAATCGGACCCGGGAGCATCTTTGTGTCCTGGAAGCTCATCATTTGGCCCATCTTCAGGGCAGCGCCGCGCATTCTCGACAGCTTTGCAACGAGCCTTTCCATATTGCCGGCACTGAGCAATACTGAACCCTCGCCACCACCGCCAAATGCTCTGCCGATGCTCTCGGTGATGGCACCACCCATCATTCCTGCTGCCAGACCACCATAGTTCCAAAGTCTGCTCAGGCGTGTGGCTGGCACGCTAGATTCCCTAAGGGCGTATGCAGGGGGTGCTGTTTGGTCGACCGCAGCGCCCAAGATCGCTTCCACGGGAGGTTCATCCTCGGATACTGGGCCGGCAGGAGTAGCGGCAGCAGACGGAGGCTCTGATGGTATCGGTGACTTGTCGCTTCTAACAGCTTCGCTCTTGTAGACTTCAGGTTGAGGGGCGGTTTGAGAAGTGCTTGGAGCACTCTCAGGGGTAGCTGACTTCTTTGCCTCGGCATCCTTGGACAGCTTGGAGAAATCAACAAACTCGGGAAGTTTTGTGGGTGGGAGCTTCTTGCGGTTACCGAAGTCAACCTTTGGTCCTTCTCCCTCTTTACCCAATAATTTGGTGGCTCGAGTGCCATGGAAAATGTTGACGTTGACACCTTCAGGGAGGTCGTCTGCCTCTTCAGAGACAGGGGCCCCGTACGGAGCCGCCGGCTTGCTCACTGAAGACCCTGCAGGAACCGTGTTATCCTTGGGCCTTTGATCCAATGGTGATGCGCCTGGAAAAGGGAATGCTGAAAGATTGGATTGCCTCAGTTCAGAGAGAACCGATCCTGAGCTTGGTGAGATACGGGCTGCATTGTTGAGATTGGGCTGGAAGCTGCTTGATGTTGTGAGCGAGGGATGACTGGGTTGTGATGTTGACTCCTTATTTGACGGCGGCGCCTCTTTCTCAGTTGGTGACTGAGCATCTGGGACCTCAGAGGAGGCCGGTGCTTCTGCTGCGGCGTCGTCTCGTGTGTGCTGAGGTGCCGTGGGGGACTTGCGTGTTAAGCTGGAAGCTTTAGTGAAGCTCTCGAGCTGTCGGCCTCTCAGTGCAACATGTCTGGATGCGACAGAGCGCGAAGCGCCGAGCACAGCTGCCAAATCGACAGCGAAATCGGCGAACCTCATCGGTGAAACAGGTTGCTCAATTATGCTACACGCATGTCTTTGTGATTGCTCTTTTACGTTCGGGTGACCTCGCGTCTTTCACGAAGTGCTGCGATTATCAAATGGTCCTCGTCATGGAGGGAAAATTAAGTGACAGACGTATGCATTTAAAGGGAAGAGAAGAAGATAGCTCCAGGGAGCTTGAGGTAGCACCATGCTTAAAACGGGGTCATTCACCAGCCCATATTTATCCAGCTACCATCCATTGCCAAATAAGTCCATGACGGCCGATAACTCGATACATACAAACATGGTCACTGTCTCGATATATGTACTTGTCTTGCACATTGAAGACTGAATTTAACTTCTTTCTGTGCTCCCCCTAAGCTGTCTTGCAGTGGTATCTTTAGTCTAATCCTGGTTCCTCGTCTATTGTCATTATTCGTATTAGTCATTTTGGCGTCGAAGCCCTTGTTACTGAGGCGCCGCCCTTCAAAAGTGAGCCTCTTGCCCGCATGGGTGTCGCCTTCAAAGACGAATTATGCGGACTGCCCGGCCTTGGGCTGCCGATCTTCCCCCATAACCTTTGGGCAGCAGGCGTTAGACCACCCGAGACTCGCGGACTGGACGGGAACTTGGGCACCGGTGTTCTGTCCAACTTTCCAGTCAAACCATTCTTCACGGATTCTCTCTTCGAATGCGCTGCCCGCTCAACTAGACGGTGATGCAAAGTCTCCCGCTTTCTGTGCTCTTGCAGCCTGAATGGATTTGGCGTAGCGTCACCGGGACCGAGGTTGATGACGGGAACAGGGAGAACTTGTTCGTCGTCGTCTTCGTCATCCACAAAGGCGTACCCATTCACTCTTGGCGTCTCTCCGCCCCCTACAGCGCTCGAAGCCAGGTCTTCTTTACGTGGTTTGCCAGCAATCGCGTCTCTCACAGCAGAAAGCGTCGGAGACGGAGGTCTTTCTGCGATTGATGGTTGCGGTACCCTTGTGTTTTGGTAGTTGATCGCCTTAGGCGGCATCATCGATTGGGCCTGCGCCTTCTGGGCTGGACTCTCGTAGTCGTCGTCCACGCCATCTGGGCCAAACATCAAGTTGTTCTTGGGGTTGGCGTTCCAACTGTCCGGCCTCGCTGGTCTGTCGTCCACGTCCTTGATGGCCAGCCTGTCCCTTTTCCACCCATCGTCCACCAGACCCCTTGTCTCCAGCAGTTTGGCTTCGACTTCCGCCTGTTTGATCATCTGTTTTGAAGGCAGCTTATTCCCTCGCCATATCCACTCGTATTTCTCCGCCTTTTTCTGATTTTGTTTGTCCATGAGCTTGTAAAAGCTCTCATTGTCCTCGCTGGTATAAGTAGCCTGGAAATTGGCCAGGCTCATATTTGTGTCCACGGCTGGCTTTGGCGCTTCGGATACCGTCGATGCCACTGATACCGGAGTATCTGCGCCGTATGCGGATGGCGTGCGTCCAGCGTTATTGAAAGGCATCGGTCTTTTGACCTTATTCCTCCCAGGCGTCATCACACGCTCCAGCCTCTGACCAGCATTGGAAATCCATGCCTTGTCTTTTGATTCAAGCGCGTCGAGGTACTCTTGCTGGGTCTCGGCCTCAAGAAGTCCGGGGAAGAAGTCGCGCGCAATGATCTGCGATAGGGCGTCGGTATAAGTGTCTTCGTCTATGACCTTTTTTGGGCGTTTGATTTTCTTAGCGGCGGGCGGTGGTGGCATCAGTTCGAGGTCGGTCCGCTTGCGCACAAGCGCGGTTGATTTGCGTTCTTGACGCTCCATCGTTGACAGACTGGGGCCGATCAACTTGAGAAGTCTGTGTTGAAAGGAATGTAGATACACGAGGAGTGCGCCGCCAGCGCCATGGGTTAGATAGATGTCGCGTGGAGATTTTGAAGTTGAAGTGATGTACTGAGGCCAATCTGAAAGTCTGAGTTGCGCTCAGGTTCGGGTCCGAGTGACGTGGGGCGCCTCCGATAAGCGATAAGGTTAGGCTCGTATGTCGCGGTTATGCAACTATCAAGGCTACGGGTACCTCAAGCTTCCCTGTCAGTCCCGTCAAAGGGGTCTTGCACTACGTAAGTCATCCGTACTTCGTAAAGGGACCTTCCCAGGCATCCATCCATAAGGTACCTGGTGACAGGTGGAAGCTCATTCCTCGCGGGAGTGGAGGGAGGGGCCAGACCACGGCGCCGCCCTTTCAGCGCCCCTGTCGGACTCCTGAAGTGGCAACTCAGTGCCACCCCGCTGCAACTGTATCGCACCGTGCGGTAGCAGCGCACTGTTTCCTGTTAGCTCCGAATACTGAAGAGGGTTTAAGGGCCGAACCGTCGCAAAAGGAAGCTTTCGAATCCGACCCAAGCCCGGCAACTTCAACCTTCGAAGAGCTTCTGCTGCATAGCAAATTTTGCTACAACCACCTCTTCTTTCCCGCCCCCAATTTTGCGTTTCGACTTGGGAAATCACACTCAATTCTCACGCCCACGAAAACGACAACTGGATTTGACACTGTTTCATGTGCGAACGCCAGTAGGAGTAACCCCTCCATCGTCTCTAACCTGCCGATACGGATACCCCACACTTTGGTTCTGCAGTAGAGCACCGTGGCCACCACCATGTCTACGCCAGAGGAAAAGGCGACAGCCTTCAAGAACGAAGGCAATAAGGCCTTTGCTTCTCACGATTGGCCCACTGCTATCGAGCTCTACACCAAGGCCATTGAGCTTAACGACAAAGAGCCAACGTTTTTCACCAACCGCGCCCAGGTTCGTTGCCCCCTCGCTGCGCCGAGACTGCGAAGTCAAGCTGCTCGCGTGACTAACACCATCTTGACTACGAGTAGGCAAATATCAAGTCTGAAGCATACGGTTATGCGATTGCGGATTGTTCGAAGGCGATCGAGCTCAACCCCAACTTCGTTAAGGTGGGCAATCCCGGATACACCCAATCGAGCCTTATTTGCTGACGTCGGTGCGACTTTAGGCATACTTCCGCCGAGGCCTTGCCCAAACCGCCATTATCAGACCAAAGGAAGCTCTCGGTGACTTCAAGAAGTGCATAGCACTCGACCCGAACAATAAGGATGCCAAGTTGAAGCTGGACGAATGCAGAAAGATTGTTCGCAAGTTGGACTTCTTCGCTGCCATCGAGGTTGGTGACGAGCCGTCAGCTGCGGAAGGCCTCGATCTTAGCACCATCAGCGTCGAGGACGACTACGATGGTGTCAGATTAGGAGAGGAGATGACACAAGAGTTCATTGACGACATGACGGAGCGTTTCAAGAACGGCAAGAAAATTCACAGGAAATATGTTTACCAAATCATCCTAGCCGTCAAGAAGCTTGTCTATGACGAGCCGACTATGGTGGAGATGAAGATTCCCGAGGGCACACAACTAACAGTCTGCGGCGACACACATGGTATGTTTCTGTGCATCTCATTTGGTACCAAAATACTTACATATAGCCAGGCCAATACTTTGATCTCATGGAGCTTTTCCGTCTCAACGGAACGCCGAACGATAAGCACTTCTACCTGTTCAACGGTGACTTTGTCGACCGTGGATCATGGTCTTGCGAAATCGCTCTTCTGCTCTACGCATACAAGTGGCTCCGACCCAACGCCTTCTTCCTGAACCGTGGTAACCACGAGACCGACGACATGAACCGCGTGTACGGTTTCGAGGGCGAGTGCAAGGCCAAGTATAACGAGAGAATCTTCAAGCTTTTCTCAGAGAGTTTTTCTGCTTTGCCCCTGGCAACTCTGATCGGCACCAAGTACCTCGTGCTGCACGGTGGTCTGTTCTCGGACGACAAGGTCACTTTGGACGACATTCGAAAGCTCGACAGACACGCTCAGCGCCAGCCTGGCCAGGCGGGTCTCATGATGGAAATGCTGTGGACGGACCCCCAAGAGGAACCCGGCCGTGGCCCGAGCAAGCGCGGTGTTGGTATGCAGTTCGGCCCCGATATCACCAAGAGATTCTGCGAGAACAACGGTCTCGAGGCCGTCATTCGCAGTCACGAAGTTCGCATGGATGGTTACGAGGTGCAGCATGACGGTCGTTGCATTACTGGTAAGTTTCTGTGCTCTCTCATGACCGTCCTTGACCTGGAACTGACTGTCGTAGTGTTCTCCGCACCAAGATACTGCGACTCCACCGAGAACAGGGGAGCGTATATCAATGTTGGCCCCGACTACAAGCTCGACTTCAAGCAGTTCGACGCCGTTCCTCACCCGGATATCAAGCCTATGGTAAGACATATCCCCTCCTCCTTTACTTCTTCTGCAGCTGACCTTCCACCTTCAAGGCGTATGCTCAGAGTTCTCTCATGTCTTCTCTGATGTAGTTTGATGATCTGCGGACAGTGGTCCTTAGGGTATGAGAAGGTATTGTTTGCATCCGCAGCATACATGGTGCATGTGTTCGGCGCATATAAGGGGCTGGGTGGCAGCGTGGGTTTAGCCATGCGGATAAATCGGAGTTCTTGCCCTGTGGGCGCACACCATAATCCCGAATCTAGAATCATACGACGGTTGGGTGTTTGGCCAAAAAGCAGTCCTTTTTTCCTCGTTCTCCCTGGCTCTACCAAGGTGTGGGTTCATGATGACCAAAGCTTGTCCTGGCCATCGGTACCGACGATAGCGCCCAGGTAGTCGGAACACTGCTTCACCCGGAGAACTTGCCGGCTTCCCTGGTCCGAGACGCCTGCCCACGCCGTGATCGCGGCGGCGAAGGGGCTAAGATCCTGCCGGGGCACGCGCAGCCAGCACTGTGCGCCCTCGACTTTGAGGATGTCGATGGGAATGGCGGAGCCCGTTGCGCCCAGAAACTGGGCGAGAGCGGCATTGCAATACGAGCGCACTTGAAGATTGTCCAGTTCTAATGCCTCTTGTGCTGTCGGTGACTCGGAGATAAGCTCCAAATGAGTGTAGGAGAAGGTCGGAGCCTTGATAGTGCATGTGAGAAGCTCGTGAGATTTCTGGCCCGTTGGGCGCGGTGTGCTGGCGGGTGCTCCGCCGGCTGATGAGTTTTCCGTCGCCATGTTGGCTGTTTCCCCTCTGGTGGATCAAGTGAACACCCTCTTGAACACCCTCTTGGCGGTTCTCTCCTCTCACAGACTCTGGTCTCTGTGAGATCCTTGCATCAAAACAAAGTGTGTGAGGCGGCAGGAGAGAATTTCGATGAGAGGAAAGAGTAGCATGTAATGTGATTCGAGCAGGCGAGCGAAGAAGCGTTAGAGGTGGGTCTGCGCCAAAATCAATCATTATCCATGTACATGTATACATGCATATACCGCCTAAGATACTAGGAACTCTGGCCATCAATGGAAAACACCGATGCCTTTCATTCCAAGCCCCACATTTGACTTCCAGCTGCTTGAGGAACTCCCAGCCAGAGCCTCTCTTCCGCCAGAAACACCATTGATGAAGCGTTAGCTTTTGCGACTTTCACCCTCACTCTTTCGACACATTTCTCAACCGCCTGCATTCTCTCAGAAACCGAAAACAAAGTCCCCAATCGGAAAGAAAATCTCGAAAAAATGTCGGCCGATAACTTCGTCGCGCCTGGTCAGCAGCGCTACCTCCGCGCCTGCATGGTCTGCTCCATCGTCATGACATACTCTGTACGTTCACAGTCAAATTTGCCTACGAAACTATCCGGATGGAAGACTTCAGAAGAAATTAGCTACTGCATTAAATCAAGAAGGCTAACATTTTTTGCTTCCCCTAATCTAGCGCTTCCGCGACGAAGGCTGCCCCAACTGCGAAGACTTCCTCCACATGGCCGGCTCCCAGGACCAGATCGAGAGCTGCACGTCACAGGTCTTTGAGGGCCTCATCACCCTCTCGAACCCGAAGCGCTCCTGGGTGGCAAAGTGGCAGCGTCTGGATAACTACGTGAGGGGCGTCTACGCGATCAAGGTCTCGGGTCAGCTGCCTGACGAGATTCGCAACACGCTCGAGGAGGAGTACAGAATACACTATATTCCGTTAGTAACGCCCTCTTCTCGGACGCTCATCGATCTCTGTTTTACGTGGAATTCGGAAAAAACAGTGGATGTTTTGGCTTTGGGGTACACTTTTGACTGACTTGGTGACAACAGGCGCGACGGAACGGAGACGGAGGTTGATGCTTAAGATTGGCTACGAGCTTTCGAAGAATGTGTTTTTGACATACAAGGCGTTTTACGGGGAGTCAAATAAGGTCGGCAAGGAGTCAGGGAAGACTCTATTCAGATGAATCAATTCTCAAAATGGTATCTAAAAGTGCAACCCAAGTTCTGCCCATGCAAGTCGTTGAACCTCCTTTTCTTGTTACAGTGATGCTGCCATGCTTCAAACCCAAACGCCTATCGATGGACATGAAATCGATGCCTGATCTAGAGTCGAAATCACCGCTGATCCGTCTTTTGTTTCTTGAACGCGAACCCGCCAAAACCCGACCCGGAGCCGTCCCTTGATCGTTTCCCCTTCTGCCTCTCCATGTCCTCTTTCATGATCCGTTCCGCCTCGCTCATCTTTTTCGGTTGCTCAAAGGCAGACTTCTTCGCGCCGCCAGCAAGCGCGTTCTTCTTCGCCTGAGCAAATACATTCCTGGTCTGAGGTTTCGCCGTCATCTTGAGCGACAGACCACCTCCGAGAGACGGCTTCTCGGCAGGCTTGTCCTCTCCCTTCTCCGATGCCGCTGTAGTCGTCGCAGTAGTCGAGGCCTCGGGCTCGGCGGACTTGGACTGCGCTTCCGCCCCTTTCATGCTGGGCTCCTTCTTCGCTGCGGCAGGCTTGGCACCAAATGACAACGACACTTTCTCTCCTTCTGCCCTCTGCAACCCCCTCTCCCGCTCTTGCTCGTCATCGGCCTTCTCGCCTCTCGCCTCGGCCGCCTTCTGCGCCCTCTTGATCTGCTCCCGAATCATCATCTGCTCCACCTCCTCGTTGCCGCGATCCTGCGCCTCTTTCCTCCTCAATGCCTCCTGCCTCTTGAGCGCCTCTGGCGAGTTATCGATCCACGCAATGTGGATACCCTTCTCGTTCTCCTCGACGCGACAGATGCCCTCCCGCCCCAGGTGCTTCGCAAACTCGGTCAAGCTGGGCCACTTTGTCGCGTTCATGTGCACGTGCTCCTTGTTGGCAATGTACTCTTGGTAAAAGTGGTTGATCTGCACCTGCTTCTCGCCGTGCCCCGTGCGCAGCAGCTGCGTGAAGTCGCGGAGAAACTGGTTGCTGTACTCGTTGAGGAACTTTTTCGGGTCCTCGCCCACGACGAGCATCTGCCGCACGTGCGACTCGGACTGCGTGTGCATCTTGAAGCCGTTCTCGTCGCGGCACTGCTTCTCGCAGACTTGGCAGTACCAGCGCAGCCGCTGGAGGCCTTTGCTTTTGAGCTTGTTGCTCAGGTGCTTCGTCGAGCCAACTTCTGCTTTTGGCATCTTGGGCGGTCTGATTTCGGGGTGTTCTTCGATGGACGGTTCTTGGAATAGAAGAGAGGGGTGTTTTCGAGATACTATGGTAGGTTTGATATGTCGAGGGCCGACTTTCGATAAGTGGCGCGTATGGGATTCGAGGTTGGATGTGGTTATGTCGACAGGAGATGATCGTCACAAAGAAGCAATGAGCCCTTCCAGGGTCAGTTGTGGATCCTTCCAGTGCTGCTTATCTTATCGAGGTTGACAAGGTTCTGCGCTCAAGAGGTGGCGGGGCAGAGCCGTGTGCGACGCCCAGCTGAACACTGTATCCCACTTCGCCGACGTCGGCATGACGGGTAAATATTTACGTTCATCTGGTTACTGGGGTCGTTCCTGATTGCCGGATATTGCAATATTAACCACTTCTTGTCAGGTAAGCCTCGTACCTTGAAGTTCATGAGTCAACATCATTCATTGGCTCTGGACCAGATCTCCAATTTACTCTCCCAGCGCCTGGGATTTCAAATCAAGGATTGACCTAATCATGTGCATTTGATATATACCTCTAGATAAATCAAGGGAATCTTGTCTTTTCCAGCCCATTCTCTTCATTCTTTCTTCTTTTCTGATCCAACAATGCAATTTCATGCTCCGTTTTAGATGACCCGACCCATGGAAAACTTATATACTTCAATCCAAAAAAAAAAAAAGTAGAGCTCGCTTCCACCGCGCGCAGTTGAAGCGCGCGGGGCATTCTAAGCGACCATCTTAGTCAAGGAAAGTGAATAAATTTGTATGCAAGATGTTCATGGCACGAGTAGCGTCACGGGCGTCAATGACGCAGGATATGTTGATCTCGCTGGCACCTGTGTCGAAAAGTTAGCAAACTGCTTCTCTCGCAACCCTTCCCCCCAGAGACGGCTTACCTTGTGAGATCATCTCCAAATTGACATTGTGCTCGCCTAGCGTGGAGAACATGCGACCGGCGATACCAATCATGTTCTTCATCTCCGCACCGACCAGGCTTAGGATGGCCATGTCATGAAGCACGCTGACGTCGCCACATTCCTCCAGCTCAAGCCGCGCCTTGTCGAAGCTGCCACCCTCTGAGTTTCCGGCGTGGATGGCCATGGACACGTGGACCTCACTAGTGGAGATAAGATCGACGGAGATCTGGTTGCTGTCGAGGATAGAAAAGACCTTTGCGAAGAAGCCGTGGGAGATGGACCGCTTGTTGGAGTGCACGTTGATGACGGAGATCTTGTCCTTGATCGTGACGGCCGTGGGCCGCTTTGGCTTTTGGACCAAGGACGGGTCTGCGGGTGCTGACCGCTGGATCTGATGGCCAGCCGTGAGGATGGGGTCGGGCACGACGATGGTGCCGACTCCTCTGGGGTTCTTGACGTTCTTGATGCGGATGGGAATAGGGGGCGAAGCATGGATGACCTGATCCATGGTCAAGTGGTGGATGACCTCGGAACCATAGAACGTCAACTCCGCCGCCTCAGACGGTGTGATGGAGTGCAGCAGGCGGGCCGTGGGAACCTTTGTCGGGTCTGCTGTAAAGATTCCGTCAACCTCCTTCCACACCTGGAGCTCATCCGCCTTCAGGCCGACTGAGCATAGCGCCGCGCAGAGATCCGTGTAGCCCCGGCCAATGTCACCATCAATCAGGCTTCCGGGGACGTTGCCAAAGAAGCCAGTGACCACGGGAACTCGCTCCTCGCAAGCCGTGATCTTTTTCCGCAATACTGCTGCGGCCTCTTGGTAGAAGCCCTGGCTCAGACGAGCCGTGGCATCGTAGTGGAACGCGTCACTGAGATCCACATATTCCGCGGCGACGCCCTGCGAGTCTGATTAGCGGCATTTTCGAGACAGTGGAAAGCCATGTCCATTCCGTACCAAGTCCTTCAGCAATGCGGCCATGAACCTGCAGCTGAGTTTTTCACCAAAGCTGATGCATCGATCCTTTGATCTTGAGTTGACCTCGAGGTTAAATCTCCTGGCCGCTACAATGTACTCGACCAGCTCTTGGCACTCATCGCGGATCTCCTGTTCCAAGGAGGCCTGCAATTCTGGGTTGCGCAGGAAAGTCTTGACTGCCGATACGTGGTCCTTGCAAATGTCCTCAATGAGACCCTTGGCCTCATTCATGAGCTCATTCTGTGTCTCTTCGGGCGTCGTGGGTGCCGCGATGCCCTTGAGCTTGTTAAACACGCCAAGGAGTCTTTGGCGGAGGGGGTCAGTTGAGAATGAAGGCTTGGTCTCGTTTCTGAGTGACTCACCGGCTGGTGGTGCCCTCAATCTTCTTGCCCGTACTTCTTGCCGAGCAGACGACGACGACCTTGTTGTGGGAAAGGCTTGCTCTAAAACAAGAACATGTCAGTCAAGTTACGATTCCATTGGAGAATCGTGTGTTTCGTACCGGACAATATCCGTGGCAATCTGTCGTGTGAGTATACTAGATCAGCCTCATGCAGCAATCGCGACTTTCTCAGTGGTGGGTGACAAACCTTGTCTGGAAACTTTCCAACACTGGTTCCGCCGAACTTCTGCACCACCCAGCCATTGCTGGAGGTGTTCCCTATCGTTTGACTACTCATGATGTATCAATGGCTACGCGCAGAGCCTAGAGTGGTTGGTTTTGGGGTATGAGTGCTTAAGGCGGGCCAAGAAGGAGGGGCACTGTGAGCAATGTGGGAATGGGAGTGAGAGAGAACCTGGAAAAAAAATAAAAAAAAATGAATGGCGACGGTTAGACTGGGACGTCAACCCTCTCAAATCGAGTGTCTTATGTGAGATGCGTCACACTGCAAGGCGTTTAGCAAAAAGAGAAAGTGGTATGACAGATGCAGGGAGTTTACAGAGTGGGAAGAGAGAGTCCACGGCTCGAATGCGGTGGAATTGCTATGTTCAAGGTGGTTTGTGTTGCGGTGGATTAAACCAAGGCGATGAGGATGGGACGAAAGTGGGATGTGGTGGAGCGACGAAATCGGCGACGCTTGTGCAAGTTGCAGCGTCCAAATTTTTGCGTTTCCGGAACATCGGAGGCGGGCCCGAATCTTCTCACACTATTCGTACCTACCTACACAGAGACCTTACAGATGCACTGCTGCAAGGTCACCAAACAATGACAGCCGTACATTGGTCAGCTTTGCTACCTGACCTGCCTTGAGGTACAAAGCCGTTACAGTGCCGTTCCTCGGTCAGAAGGCGATGAATGGGTCTCGAAGTTTGGAATCCCTGAAAATCCTCCAAAGCATAACTGCCACGCCGCTGCCGTTACTGCTAACTACCTATCTGTACAGTCTCTGCCGATAAATCCCCTGGCTTGACCTGGCTTCTGCAAAGACCTGTAGGACCGAGGACTCTGAATTGGGCAGTGTGTCCGCGGCAGCCTATATCCGTGACAATTTCTTTGTCTGAGTCATACGTAGTACGCAGTATCGGTGCTTCACTAGCCCCTCTGAAGAAGGTAATTTGACACCAGTGTCAAACCTGTCCATCTCTTCAATATCCCAGAAACTCTAGATAATAGAGTACGGTTCCAGGACGACCATTTGGTAATCACTCGTGAACCCCACGGGGGTCACTCGCTGTGTGCGTCCGCTCTGGTGGTCTCTTCAAGCCTCTGCGTTGTCGCTGCCGTCTCCCGTCCAGCCACTCCACAAATGCGGTCTCGTAAAGAGCCTATGAAACCTGTCCCAAAGAAAACCTTTAGTTGCCGAATCCTGGCGACCGCGCGGGGATGGCGAATCAGGGACCAGCCGATGACGAAGTGACAGACGGGGATCCCACGCCCCCAGTGAAATAGCCGCATTTGACGCAAGTCGGCATGCCACTGATCTGTTGCCGCCGCAACTCATGACAACCTAGTTTTGCTCAACAACACCTAGAGCCATTCGGGGTCTTGGGCAGTCTTATCAGACAATGAGCAAAGGCAACGTGAAATACCCTGCCAAGCCTTGCATGCATACATCTGCAACTCATCAAAAAGGGACACACATTGTCTGCTCAAAGCTCTCCCAGTATGGGTCGTATTACCACTAAATAAACGTATAAACGCAAGTGCCGTTGCTTTGCCCAGAACCAGAGACAATTGGTATAGCAAACCCACGAGAACCAAAAACCAATGCGAATGCCGACCTCGATCGCCACGCACGTCAAACACCGACCGCAAAAAAAAAACCAGATCCCAAACCCCGTCTAGAAATGAACAGGCGCAGTTCCCAATGACTTGTCCCCACCAAATGGTCAAGACTTTTTCCGCGCTCATACAATCGTGCAGTCGTGCCATCGTCATCGCACTGTTGTCGACAGTCCTCTTCTGGTATCAAGCCTCTACAAGAGACCGTCTGACAGGCGGCTATCGATACATGACACCTGGTTTGCCAGGTGCGACTAGAATTCGATTTCCTTTCGTCATTGTTGCAACTCAGCATTGGCAAGCAACGCTTGATTGACCTCCGAGTGCGAGAAGGTGTATTTATCCATGGGAAAGTCTTCCTCCGGTGTCCGGATGCCGATCCCGCTGTCGTCCGGATTGTTTCCCGCGGACATATCCGCAGAGTCCACCTGGCCCTGGCTTGTTGATGGTGGGAATGGCGCCTTGTCTGGCTGTGCCTGAGGGAGACTCGAGAAGTTGAAATCCTCGCTGCCCGCGCTGAACCGAGAACCTTGGCGGTTCGACTCCTGAGCTGCCGATTGAGGGTTTGCCACGGCTGCCGATGCGCCTGACGTCTTCATTTGAAGAAAACCACCCTGCTCGGCAAGGAAGCAAGTCATCTCGTCGATCCAGCACTTCGTCACCCACCACGAGCCGAAACTCTTGCCTTGAGCCATGGTAAGATCCCGCATCACGGCCGTGCCCACCCTTTGCACAGCGTAGACAATCTCAGTGTGCGACGCGTAAGGAAATCGTACCGGGAGGGACTTGAGGAACCCAACCCAACGCTCCAAGACATTTTGGCCATTGGGATCGCCTGCGCTCTCGACGCCAGGTTGGCGACCGTTTCTCAAGGCGATGTCGCCATAGACCGTCAAGCACTCCACCTCCCAAGGGACGTTCATGGGGCTAAGGAGATCCCGTAGTTCGGTGACGAGCAAGTTGACGAGATCATCCATACCCCGTGTGGGAACACACTCTGCCACCTTGCGCACACGCACCATCGTAATCCAGTCGAGATACATCTGATCGCGGTTGGCCGGATTGGACAGCATGTTGGCTGCCGCATGGGCAGTAAGGTTGACTCGCAAAGCTCGGTCCAGAAGAGCTGCAAAGATGGTTGCCGGTGCCTCCTTGGCTCGGATAACGTGGTGCGGTTGTCCCTGGAAAGCCTCTCGAATGTGAGGTACGAGGCGCTCGGAGATGCCGCGTAGCGTGTCCAGTACTGGCTTGGGCACGACCTGGAGTGTGAGCCCAGAGATGATTCTCAGCATGCGTTGGTACAGAATAAAGTCACATTCCTCGATCCAAGGGGCGAGGCTCGGGTGGCCGAGGAGCTTTTGAACGGGCATCGTCAACGTGCCCTGGAATGACGTATAAAGATGGAAGAAAGTCTTTTCCTTGCAGTAGCGAACACACTCCACGAGGGAAGTGCAATGCGACCTGTACAGGGCAGATAAGCTCTTGGCAGCATCTGGGTCAGTTCCACTCGGGAGGAAAGGCTCCATCCGGGGTAGCGCGAGAGGTTCGTTGGATTGGAGGAGCAGCTCATCCGCTTCCGAGGGGAACGAGAACTGTAATGAGGTCTTCGATGCCGATGAGTTCAGATGATCCGCGCTGGTCACATTGGGATGGCTATAGAAGCTATGCGACCTCGAGGTGTGATGCGTCGCCTGAGCTGGGCTCTCTGGGCGCTTCGCAGCATCGGGTGATGGCAAGACGGCAGCGGCAGGCTGGACCTTGACGGGTGCCGCGCTGAAGCTCTGAGAACGGGGGGGTTCGGAGATAGCCACAGGAATGTGAGGCTCGGGTTCGCGGAGGTCAGGCTGGTCGTCAACCAAGCAGAAATTGACGTAGTGGTACTTTGATTCTCCTCTCACGCCGAGTCGCCTCGTCTTCAGACCTGGGAAGAGTACGCGAACAAGCTTTCCGAAACTGGCTGGGTTGAGGACTGTGATTCTCTCGGTGGCACAGCGGGACGCGTAGTTGGCATACACGCGACCTCGAGGTACAGATCCCTTTCCCTTGGTGCATACAGAGTTGATCCAGAGCATGGCAAAGACTTGTCGGGTGCGTTCGGAGTTGGGGCCTCGTTCATTGCCGTGCAGTTCGCCGGCAACATCTTGCAGACCGCGGTGCTTGTTGGCATTGAAGAGGTGACGCATCTCCAGCTCGTTGTTAGCACTGGATCTCGCGGAACTAGACTTCTGCATGCCCATGGCTCCAACCAAAGAATCGCCGTCTTCGTCACGATCTATCATTTGGCTGTCGTCGGTGAAGCTGTTGTTGGCAAAACTTTCGGACGGCAAAGGGTGTCTTTGCATGGGATGTTGCTGGAACGACATCGAGTGGCCCATGTGAGCACTGGACTGGCTCATGGAGGCACTCATTCCGGGTGGCATCGAGTATTCGCGGGCGTTCTGCATCTGGGTAGCAGCTGCATGAAGCATCATCTCCTCCGGTGTGATCCGCGACGCGGGTGCGAGGCTTCTCTGCTGTCTTTGATCGTTGTTGACCCACTGTGCCGAATACAATTCGGGCGCGTCGGCAAACTGTTGTTGGTCCATAGTAGGTTGCGTTGAGATGCTGTGAACCGAAGCTGTCGAGGCCCTAGACTGAGGTCTCTTCTTCGCCCTGAGGGCCTGGGCGAGGTGGTCTGTTTATATCAGACCGTCAGTCAAAAAGCACAGAGAAAGAAGCGCTCTTGTTGCAATGAAGCAAGCCTGGCGAGGCTATGGATCGTACCGTGGTCCATTGGTCGTTGTCTGTCAGCTCGGTGAGGAAGTGATGTTGTTATTTTGCGATGAAAACACACGGATCATGCAGGACGCCGTTTCCAAACAATGAACAAGTCAACGTGCGCCGAGCAAGGACAAATGCGTGAGGAAAAAAGAAGAGGCGTCGAGGTCGAGAGAGTAATCCGGAACCCCTGCAGCCTTGAAGAGCGCGGTGCGCCGTGGTGAGCGTCGAGATCTTAAAGGACGTGGTTGGGGGGGAGCAGGACCAGAAGCAGAGTGTGGATGTGGGAAATGTTTTGGGAGGCTTTCCACTGTTTTGTTGACTTGACAACCAGGCTCGGCCGGTCACCTCCACTCTGGTCTTGGAACAACGGATTGGCGTGGCTGGGCGACTCACGTGATGAGAAAGGCCAGTCATTACAACGTGTGGTTGCATCCTTCCATGGCCGCGGATTGGATGGTTCCCAAACAACCTGGAGCAGCCAGTCCCGTAACAGCTTGGTCGTGTTTGTGTTTTCCAATTGGCCAGTGCGCCCAAGGAGTCTGTGATGTGGGGTCTGCTTACTTTGTCTGTTTCTGGCTATTTGGCTCTGGCGTCGGTACGTATAGACGCTACTGTGTTCCAAACACGCGGAGAAGCCACATTCAGATCTGTCCACTCAGCTTCAAAGGGTGAGCAACAAAAACTCCGTACGTAGGTACCTTACTCCTCTCTCCCAAGGTGCATTGTGCCTTGATCGTCAGGCATCAACACAAGGTAAACACAACAGCAATGCACCTCAGCCAAAAGCATCCGGGTCCGAGTCTTCCCCACCTTCGCTAAGGCAAGGGAGCTCGGGTGCTCTTATCTTATCTCACTGTAGGTAGGTTAGGTGCGGACCGGCCGTGGCATCCCGTACCTACATACCCACCATACCCTGCCGTGTCCGCCAAAAAAAAACACTCGCTGGCTGAAGACTGAAGACCGAAATCTGCGAAATCTGACACCATCCGAGCCATGGCCACACAAAGTACCCGCTAACACGAAGGACATGGATCCCAGGGCAAAGTTGCCCGGCACACAAAGTCGGTTGCAACTGGGAGCTACATCAAGCTGCGCCGTGCTCACTTCGTCTTGTGCTTGTGCCCCTCTCCTAACCCCCATTAGCCCCGACTGAAGCTCGACGCAAAGGCACCCAGACCATTCCTACTGGCCAGATCTGCACACGTTACGTCGTCATCCGGCCTTTTCCCTTTCACCTGCTAATTCCAACACAGACACAAGGTTACTCAACCCCATATTCTCAGTAATTTCGTCAAGAACCTTACATTCTGACATCGTCAACAGCATCTTGCGGACTGTTACAAGCTACCCACATCGCTCATCAAACCACTGTCAGTTTCCGCTGCCCGCACCGAGTCCTTTGGGGCCTCTTTTGTTGCAATCTGGCCTGGTCCTAACCCTTATCATAGCGCATTAACGCACAGCTTTTGCTACCCAACCAAGCTCCTCTTCAACCGTCAATATGTCTGCCCAAGATCGCGTCCAGAACTACATCGGCCAGCTCGACCGTGAGGTAACTAAGCCTCCGCCAGCTCCTACAAGACGTTTGGGACACTTTTGCTGACTCGCATGACTGCGATAGCTGTCCAAGTACCCCGCCTTGAACAACATCGAGAAGTCGACCAATGTTCCCAAGGCCTACGCCGTCATCGGCGTTGCTTCCCTCTACTTCTTCCTTATCATCTTCAACTTGGGTGGTCAGCTCTTGACCAACTTCGCCGGCTTCGTCATTCCCGGCTACTACTCCCTGAATGCTCTGTTCACCGCCAGCAAGCAGGATGACACCCAGTGGTTGACAGTGTGTTGCAACTTTTCCCCGCAATCATCGACGCCCAAACCTTGCTAACATCAATTCTAGTACTGGGTCGTCTTTGCCTTCTTCACGTCAGTTTTCCCCGGCCCGTCAAAGACGTTCAAAACTGACTAGTATACCATAGCGTTGCTGAGAGCCTTGTGAACGTTGTTTACTGGTTCCCCTTCTACTTCACCTTCAAGTTTGTTTTCCTGCTGTGGCTCGCTCTGCCCACCTTCCGGTACGTTCCATCCTATCCGAACCGCGATAGATCCCGCTGACTGGCGATAGTGGTGCTGAGATCATCTTCAACTCCTTCCTCTCGCCCATGCTCGCCAAGCACTTCGCCGGTGCCTCCACTGCTTCCGGCCTCCGTGCCCAGGCTGGCAAGGCCGAGTAAGCGCGCCCCGGCGCCAACTCATTAAACAGGTCGATTGCCTTCAGAGATCCGCCTTGAAAGAGTTATACAGCTGGCCCGACTTCATCCCAGTGGTAATCGCAAGCTAGTCAAATGGACGTTATGCAGCGACCTAGAGCACAAAGAGGACGGGATGTAGTGGCAGAGGCTAGCATTACCACACTATAAGACAACGGTGATGGCTTGTTTAGGATTGGTCGGGGGCTCCAGGAACGCGAGAGCCACGACGAACGGTTAAACCAGCTCCTGTTACCCATTTAAAGTTACTGTATGCTACGGGATACGGAGTCAATGACTTCTGCAATGGACTAGAGACAGTACATGATGCTAAGAAAATATCGTGCGACATGCGTTGCCACCGTCTCCCATTGGGTTCGGTTCCTTGGTGAAAATGTGGAAACATGTCACAAGCGTTGTGCGGGATGAAGAGTGGTGGCTTCGAGACAAAGAGATAGTCGAGATGCCATACATGTTTCTTTTGTCATGGGCAACTAAAGCAGCAAGCCGTCGGGTGGGCATCTTGCATCAAATCTGCTAGACCCTGACATAGACCGCATACCAACGCTGCTGCTCAGCGTCGTACAAGACCGTCTCGCATGGGTAAAGTCGAGTCCGAGATTGTGGAGGTCATAATAGGAACCATGATTCGAGCATTTCTCATACCAGTCGGCATGTCATTGCTGCTGCCCGCTGTCATTTTGTTGCCCCATTGACACAAGAATCTGGATTGGAATTACTGCACGTCGCCGGAACAACTTAACGGAGGCAGCAAGGTGGCATATTTGAGGCAATCTGCAGCGTTCCTGATCCCTGGTCTTTTGGCCTCTTTTCGCTTTCTTGTTGCAGAAAAGCGGTTCAATCAGCTGGCCAGGCCTCGATATCGAGCCCGCCAGCGCAAGATGTGGTGTAGCGTGAACCTTGACCAGCGAGTTCAGTGCCTGAGTTCAATGAAGAGACGGGAGAGTGTATGCGACCAGGTGCCAAGGTCGCCGCCGCCTGGTCCATGAGCCCAAATGCCAATCCGCTGTAAGCACCCTTAGCCTTAGGGGGGTTTTTCCCAGTGACCTTTGGCGAGGGTAGCCCCAGCGGGCTGGCCGAGGATCCCGAGACGTGGAAACTGGAAAGGGGTCCCCCACACTTTCCGGGTTGAACCCCCTGTTCCTACATCGACTCTGCGGGATCTCCAGCGTGTGTTGGCCGTTTAGAGCCGCCTTGGGAGGGCGTGTGCCTGTAGCCCGCCTCTCAACTGTTTGGGATGTGAAACTCGTAAAACGACAAAGGCTGTTTACCCTCCCTTTCTGAATTCTCCAAGTCCAACTCAGCCATACCTCGACAACCTTCGTTTGCCCGTTTCTCGTCGACGGCCTTTCCCGACCATCTAACCTGTTTCGTAGCATCGCTTCCGCTCGAAAGGCTGCACGCAGCACGACGACATTCACTCCGCCGATAGACGCGCTTTCATGGAATGAATTGGTGGATACAGCCAATTTGCGATCAAGCATAACGACATATTGACCCTCGCTGAGCGTAACCAACATTCCCGCCAACACCCGGATTCACCGACTCGCCGGCGAAAGCTTACCATAGCGAGCGGCGTCTCGGCAAGAAGAGATTCAACGGCATCTGCCCCCGGAGGGCATGTCCACACAATGCAGCTCAGCCCTCTGCAATCGCGACTGGCGGCCTCGCTGATTGCGTCGCTACTGCTCGTCGTTCTCTACTATCTCCTGTCTACGCCCACCTTCGCCCTCGCTGCGGAATTGAACGGCATCGCACAACCAATCCTTGACGATGTCCAATTCGACGACAGTCTCGAGCAAAGAAGCGCTCTCGAGCCAACGTACGAGCCCGAATTCACTGCCTTCGACCGCAGTATCATTGGAAGAGCACCTGCCGGTGTTACGGGCCTAACAAGCAATGTCAAAGTCAACCGCAATGTCCCGGGGAACTCGACCCAAAGTTTCGTCTTTGAGGCAATTACAATCTTCGCCAACTTCTTCGATGGGACGGACGAGGCGTTCATGGTAGAACCTCGCGAAGGCAGCAATGAGTCCATCTCACCGGAGCTAGTCAGCATCGAAGGCATCAAGCCAGAGGATGAAGAGCGCGGCCTACGCCGCAGGCAAGCTCAGGGAAGGACTGTGTACATCTCAGCGACCACGTGTATACAGCCACAGCGTGCGGCGAACAACACGAAGGAGGATGCGCCACAAATCACGATGTACATCTCGACATCTCAGGACAACCAGACACCTGGCCCAGGGCAGAACTCTACCCTACAGAAGGAGGTCGCTTTTGTAGAAGGCGCGGCAACCTTTAGCGTCAATGCAACAGGCGACGTCTTTATTGGAATAGGCGCGCCCTCAAAGGATACCGACAAATTCACGGGAGATTGGAACTTTGATGTCGCGGCATCGACAGACGATTTCTTCCACAGCTTTGATGGAAATCCTTCTGAGCTTCTCTGGGTCGACAGTGACTCCAGCGCTGCACTCCTGACGACGCAGAACTTGACGACCTCCCAGAATGAGACTTTGATTCAGGAGATCATGGGGTCAGGGCTCCCGTTCATTATGTTCGTCGAGAACCGAGAGCAGCCCACAACTAAAGGCGTTCGACGCTCAATGTGTGGATTAGAGAATTACGCTCAAATCGCTGCGAAAAAGGGTGGCAAATTTGGCAACCTCGCCAGTACTCTTATGACGACGAGAGGCGCCGGGAACCTACCCAAGCAGCAATTCTTCTTCAACGGGCTCAACGCGAGTGCTCTATATTCGGGCATCCTAGTCCGCACAGGCAATTCGTCTTCGTCGAGAAAACGTCAAGACGGCGCTCAGAGTGGCGGCGGAGGCAAGGTTTTCGAAGCGACGCCCTTCGAAACCAAAGATGGTATGTACACTGCCAGGGTAAGAGTGCTATTCAGTGACTGATTCTGTGTGTAGGAGAGAATTGCAAAATCGTTACCGACCTGCAATTTTGCAATGAGACGGAATACGCTGTGCCCGCGAACTCTAACAAGATGAATATCACTCAGCTTGCGCAGTTCTACGACAACTATGCTAGGGATATGTACGCCAACTTCAAGAAACAGCTTGCCCAGGTCGCCTGCGAAGCGCCGGCAGTACAGCAATACTCCCTTGCGCGAAACTGCTCCGACTGCGAGACTGCATACAAGAAGTGGCTCTGCTCGGTGACGATTCCGCGATGCGAGGATTTCACGAGTCCTACCAACTTCTCCCTAGTCAGGAACGTGAACCAGACATTCCCAAACGGAACTCTTCTTCCAGTCGCCCAGCAAGATTTGTATCCCAACAGAGTTAATCAGCATTCGAGAAACCCCCTCATCGACGAGATGGTTGAGCCAGGCCCATACAGGGAGATTCTCCCCTGCGCCTATCTTTGCTATGACTTGGTACAAAGTTGCCCCGCGTCGCTGGGCTTCAATTGTCCCACGCCAGATGATGACATCTTCAACTCGAGCTACGCGGAGCAGGGTGATGGTTTGACCTGCAACTACCCAGGCGCCGTGCACAATCCCTCTGGATCCGCATTGCTATCAGTTTCATGGGGTCTACTATCAGCTCTCATTCTTGGTACGCTGAGTGCAGTCATACTCTAAGTGGATGAGAAGGGGTGACAGCATCGACCCCGTAGAGGGTGTTCATTTTCAGTAGATTGACGGCCGACTTTTGTATAATGGGTAACGGGCACGACGGGACAGTGTAATGAGGGTTTTCTGGATGAATTGCATGGCATCGGCGTTAAGACACGACGTCTACTTTAAAGGTAGGGACAAAGACGTCCTTGCGTGTGCACATGGCTGTATTAGCCGTGTTGGGAGGAACTGTTAGAGGATTGAAGATTAGATAATCTAGCAGACCTTTTTCTCTCTCTACATTCGTCTGTGAACATCGAAAGGACCAACCTGATGGTCTTGCAGGACGATGGGAACCTGCTAATAGTAGAATACAGTATTATACACTCCGCGCACTGCTCAGACCCATTCTAAGGAACGTATTCAGTCCTTGCTAACAGTCAAGAGGCACCGCCTCTTGAGTGTCACTCACATACTTGGCCGTCCGGCTTTGATGCCATCTTCTTGGAAGATATGGAGAATAGGTGTTGTTAATCAGCAACCCCATCTCTCCCGCGACGAGAGTAGAAGCGATGTTCTGGTTCGCGCATTTCGGCGTCCGTCTCCATTTTCTCGTGTCGGCCTTCGCCTTCTTATCCATGAGACCGCAACTGAGTCCGCGCATCTGTCTGATTCGCCACAGATCTCTTCCATTCGCCCTCCCCACGTCTCTAGGCCTTCGTTCCCTTCCCTGCCTGCAACTCTGCGACCTTCGCCTCGAGACCCTCAATCTCCTTACTCTTCTCGCCGCGAATTTCGTCCTGTTCAAGCTTCGTCCAGGTCCAGTAGGCGATTTGATATGTGAGGGTCGCCATCAGGAGAACTTTGAGGACAGGCCGGGTGAACGTTTTGTAGAATGTTCCCTGTTGTTTGTGGATTCAATATCAGTTTGGTCAGGGTTCTGCTAGAAAAAGGGTACGAAGGCTGTCGCGGGAGAGAATGAATGGGACCGCACGAACCACAATGGACGGCCTCTTCTCGCCATCTACTGATGTCGAGTAGAGCCGCGATGCTGCGCGGGGCATCTGTGTTGTGCGCTGGGAGCGGAGAGCTCTGCTTAGGATCATGGTGCTGCTGCGCGCGGCCATGACGGGCTGCGGTGTCGTCGGTCGGTCAGTAGTCGCTTCGTGGCAATTCGTATCCCGGATCGTGCGATGGCAAGGTAATTGGGTGATAATCGCAAATGCTTTTCGTATTCTAGGGAGAGTGGTCGCAGGTTTCTCCGTAGTTATCGTGGTCTGCCCTCGTTTGTAGCTTGCGAGGTCCGTCCGTTTCCTAAGAGCTCCCGTCCTCGGAAGACTCGAACAATTGCGCTGCGCCGCGCCGATCTGTGGCGGTGCGCGTATCCCCCGCATAACCCGGCAGCGCGTCGACCGCCGCCCTACGGCATTGCGGATCCCGCTCTTGCCTGTGGCACAGGTGGCATTTGGCAATGTGCCTTCTTCCAGGGGTCAAGGTACCTCATTCCAAGGTCCCCTTCTGATTGAGCGGCGCATGGGCTTCGGCACCCCTGGCCCCGAACAGGCAATGGCCCCGTATGTCTTTTTGACGACACCATGTCCCGAATAATCAGAGGGTATTAGAGTGGAGGTGGTGGTGGCCGCCTGAAGGTCCTGAAGGGAGAAGAGCAATTCCGGTACGAGGACCGGTACGAATGGTACATGAGCAGTGGAGGGCCCGCGCTTAGCGGGTAAGGTACCTAGCAAGCTAAGGCAGGTGAGTACGGAGTAGGTAATACGGCAAACCACCTTTACCACCTCCCCTCGTGGTAATTAGCTTCAACCGCTCTTAGCCCGAAAGCTCCCTCGCGCAATCTGTCCCTTCAACCAGCTTCCCTTCTCTTCTCTCGACACAGTTTCGACAACAATCCTCCTCGCACACACGACCAAACACCACGTCTACCAACTACCTCTTCCAGCGCATTATATAACGAGCCAATCTTCTAAACCGAATAAACGGAAAAAGGGAGCAAACCACCAAAGTATCGGCATCGAGCAGACCACATCGCCGCAACCCCTTCACGACTTATCCACATACACACATCACCACAATGGTATGCAACTTCCAACCCAGCCCTCGCCGTACCGCTACATCAAGACAAATCGTTCTTGACGGCTTCGAGCTTCATATTTGGAGTACACTTGCGGCTCAACTATGACCTTATTGACCCTTCTTGATTCATAGGCGCAAACACCCCAACAGAGACGCGCAAACGCAAAGTTCGCCAAGGACAACGAGTCTCGCATGGGCAAGTCCGAGGATCAGATCAAGAAGCGCACCAAGGAGGCGCCCAAGTCGCCCATCTCCCCCATTTGGCTCAGTGAGTAGTCCCCAGTCACTTTCTGTCGCCTCCCTTTGCGATCAGCTGCAACTGCCTTTCGAAAAGCTGCCAGTTGTATTTGGGAGCAATTGCTAATGAATCCTCTCTCCATAGTCCTCCTCGGCTTCGTCGTCTTCGGCGGTATTGTCTTCGAGGTCCTCTCTCGCATGTTCGGCTTCTAAGTTGACCCGGCCGATGTTCGTACTCAGCCAGAAAAGCGAGTGAGGGTGTAAACGAGACAAAGTCCGCAGAACAGGGGAGGCTGAACGATCAATGTGGTATATCGGTCCACACCCAGTTCTTCCGAGCAAGCCTCCTCGACGGACTTGAGCTCAAACACAATCGCAGCACCGCAACGGTTGCAAGGGGAGGATGCGGTCAAACAAGACGCAGCTGAGTCTCCCCTTGGCATCGGAGAGAAAAAGGGGGAGTGTTCATTTCCTGGAACACTTGGAGAGATTGAGCCCATACCCCAGACAGCACCTTGCTTCCAGTGGTGGGAACAAGCCTGTACAAAAAATGCCACACGTCGCTTTCTTGACCTTCGTCGTGGGAAAGCAAGAACACCTGGTTAACGGCGTACTGTATTTAAAACTTCCCGTTTTTTTTTTCATTTTCTCTTCCTTTCAGAGGCAGCTCGTTGATAGCAATCTCCTCGATGAAAAGCAATCCACGTTTTTATTCTACATGAAAAGACTTTTTGGGTTCCCTGTTTGGTCCTGACCATACGGCCTCATCAACATGAACTCCAAGGCTACTAACAAAGCCATGTGAATGCACCACACCTGCTTCCTCATCTTGAGAAACCCCACAGCTTACGCACCAAGACCGCGACGTTGGCCGCCAGCATCGTACTTCATGTGCACACCAGCCTGGAACTGCTGCTCGAGTTCTTGGGTGATCTTGTTGATATCACGCTTGCCCTTGGCTCCGGAGGCCTGGGGAGCCGCAGCCGCGGCACCCTTCTTTCCGCCACCCAGGAGACGCATGAACTTTTGCTGACGGTCTGCGCCTCCTCCCAGGTGTCCGACGTCCCACTGCTCGGCAGCAGCAGCGTTGTTCGCAGCAGGCGCCTTGCTCTCCTCCTTATCCTCCTTCTTCTGCTTCTTCTTATCCTTCTTGACCTTCTTGCTGGGGGTCTCCTCGGCAATGGCAACACCACCATCAGAGTCGTCTTCATCCTCCTCTCTTGAGCGCTTTCGCTTCTTGTCAGACTTCTTGGACTCCTTGACCTCTTCCTCAGCTTCCTCTACGGCCTTGGACTTCTTGCTCTTCTTCTTATCCTTCTTCTCCTTCTTAGCAGGGGCTGGCTCCTCGGATTCCGCAACCTCTTCGACCTTCTCCTCAACCTCCCTCTCGACCTTCTTGCTCTTCTTTGACTTCTTTGACTTCTTGGGCTTCTCTTCCTCTTCGTCGGCCTCCATCTCCTGCTCCTGGGTGATGGCTCTCGCCTCGCTTTCGGCGCGGAGTTGTGCGCTGGGGTTTGGTGACTCTGAGTCCATGTCGACATCCTCGTCTTGTTCAACAGCTGCACCGCCCTTGGTCTCTTCCGCCTCAGAGTCCGAATCGGAGTCAGAATCCGAATTTGAAGAGGAAGACGATGATGATGATGAGTCCGAGGAAGAATCGGCTTCTGAATCGTTCTCGTCGTCGTAGATCTTGAGGTCCTCGTTCTCCTTCTTCGCAGCCAGGGACTTCTTTTCCTCTGCCTCTGCAGCGTTCTTCTGTGGAAAAGCATGGTCAGTAATCCGATTTCGATGATCTGTGTATCACACTTGTCGCAATCCTTTCTCGTGAACTTACCTCTCTCTGTTCAGCCATGACGGCGTGTCTTACGCGTGCCGCCGCAGCCTCGGCCATGAGCTTCTTGGCCTGAGCCTCGAGCTTATCAGCCCGCCTCAGCATACGATTGAAGCGCTTCTCGTCCTTGTTCTCCTTGCGCGCCGCCTTCTTCGCCTTGTCGGCGGCCTGACGAACTGGATCCTGCCATTTTGCGGCGCGCTGGATGTTGGCTTTGCGCTCTTTCTTGGCCGCGGCCTTGAGCTGCTTCTCTTCCTTGTTGGCGGCCGCACGTCTCTCGCGCTGGTTGTGCTTGCGTTCGATCTTCTTCTCTGTGAGGGTTCGAGGCGGTCAGCTGTGTCGGGTGCAATCGTTGGTGGGCACCGGCGCGCAAAGCGGTTTGGGTTCCAGGATCGTGTTCTTACCCTTGCCCTCAGCCTGAGCCTTCAAGTCTTCGGCGCTCCGGATCACGGGTTCTTTGATCGGCGCCATGCTGTCCCGATTTCGTTGCGATTCCAGGTGTTCGGGGTTTTTGGGTGCTGTAGCAATGGACTGGCCGATTGCCCTTCGAGCGTTTGGCAAAAGTCGCTGGGTCTTTTTTTTTTTTCTGCCGCGCTGCGATCGACTGGTGGAGATGCAACGATCCAAAAATTCTGGGCGGGATCCCCTTCTGCCAGGCGGTAAGAGACTACCTTGATGCTGGATCCCTGCAAGGTGGGGTTCTCGATTTTGTTCGATAGACCAGTCTAGGTGGGAGGTACGTACTGATCTTTGGTCCCAGGAAGCTTTGACCTGCCTTACCCGGAGTGACGGGACAGAAAGTCAATAACTACCTAGACTACGGCCCCTCTTTTCCCGTACCGCCAAGCACTGCCCGATTTACCGGCAGCACGGTGGCCCAAGACTTTGAAAAGCATTTCTGATTGTTCTAGAGCTGTATACCTACCTTTGATTACCTCGGCCTACGACGGCCTTGTGTTACTATCATGAAATCAGCCTTAGCAACGGTACCTTGTTTACGTATAATGTCGTGTTCCTGGCATCAGTCACCTCTTTATCTAGTACACTACCCCCGTCTCACACGCGCAGCCTGCCTCGACGCCTCCTACGAAGCTTTAGGCATACACACCATCAGCCAAGGCTACCTGTCGCTGGACGTAGCTACTCACTATGCACAACTTACGCCAAGACCTGTCGTCACGCGCTCCGACTTACACGAGATTCAAAGGGTTGTTCAGCCCCGGCTTTAGATAGAAACTGCCGTGTCTCGGCGGTGCTACGAAGGGTCTCCATGCATACTGTACATCATTGGAGACAGTAAGTGACAGTCTCAAATGTTGGATTCAGACGATGACATGTCTAGCAACGGTGAATGGTGTGCGTTCTCCTTCAACAATGAGGCGATGCCTTGAAGTAGTTCCCCACCCACAAAATCCAGCTTCAGTATGGAGATAATCAGATACCAGTCATTTGAATGTCACATACTCAACTCCGGTATTCGATATAGTGTAGGTAAAACCAGCTCACTACTCACTACCGATCTTCCTTGCTTCTTTGGACCCCACAGCAGACTTTCCTTGACTAAGATTAGCCTACTGCGTGTGGGTGGCATATGCAACGTCGACGATTACACCCTTATCTTTACTCCAGAGTGAGCCAGAGCTGGCACAGCTTTCCTATTCTTGACTTTCTACTTTGAACAGGTTGCTTGAGAGTCATGAGAGGTTTTGCCATTGAATACAAAAAAGGTCGAGAGTGATATCTAACACAGGACCAGTCTTGGTGAATCTTTACTGTCGTATCTTTCATCCGCCATTAGATCCCAGACCCCGTTGAACTCCATGCTGAGAAAATCAAAGAGTCATCTGTTCCTCCGTAGGATTACATCCATTATCCATTCACTTCTTTTCCAAAAAAAAAAAACTGGATTGAACACAGGATGAGTGGTGTGAAAAAAAGGAAACACGAGTAGAAGAAATGGAGGTAAAAGTGTAAGGCCCATCCTGTGGACGAAATAAGAAAATCTTACGCGCCCACCTTCCCCCCTGTTTTTCTATGCTAAATCAACCCAGCCCATCCCAGCCCAGCCCAAACGCCTGTGTCTTCGTATCCAGAGTGTCCCAAGAAATCTCGAACTAGTGCCTAAGACTTGCCATCAGAATATAGTCAATCTCTAGTTGTAATCGTGGATTTCCCTTACCGACTGTGATACCCCTGGTTCACGTCACCACCCTGATCATAATCCAAGTAATACGGCGAGTCACCGCCATAGTAGTAATCCTCCCCGCCACTGCTCCCATAACTCGCGGGCGCCGCCGGCTGGTACGCCTCCGTATAGCCGTTGCCGTAGTTGGTCATGTAATACGGGTCCTCTCTGACGTAGTCGTCGCGGCCGCTGCCCCGGCGGCTCTCGTGCTCGTGGCCGCGGGTGATGACGTGGTTCATGTTGATGCTGCCCCAGGGGAGTCCGGACTCGGCTCCCTCTTCTACGCCGCCGGCGCCGGCGCCGCTGGGATCGGAGGAGCCCGAGGCGACTTCGTACGTGTTCTTGGCGTTGGTCTCGTTGTCTGCGTCGCGGTCGGCCTTTTCTTTGCTGTCTTGGTTCTTCTTCCCTGTGGTTGTGTGTGTTAGTTGAGCTACTGCGTTTTGTCCCCCGCCTTCGAAGACCCGGGTCCGGAGAATGGAGAGAGGACGTACTGAATTTGCGTTGAGCCAGCCGATTTTGGATGCGCCGGCGCTCCTCGGGATCTGTGATTTCTGCCCAGTCGTCGTTCTTTGACTTTGACTTTGATTTTGAGGAATGTTGCTTCTTGGAGCTTTGTTCTGATGATTTTGAAGCCTTGGATGACATGTTGTGGTTGTTTCCCGGGCTTCAGACTAGCAAGTGTGGTGTTTGCTCTGCGTTGAAGTGGCGGCTTCTGAGAGAGCTGTGGTCTCACTTGGCCGTAAGAGGATGCCAACTGTAGCGGCAGTGTTCTTAGATCTCTCGCCGAAAATTGAGTCTCCGAGCTAAGTGGTTCTATTACACAGCAATACGAGGCTAATACGACTGCTTGGTTCGTCAGAACAGCTTGCCAACAAATTTGACATCCTACACTTACAGCTCAGTTTCACTTGTATTGTCTAAGATGTTCCCTTGCGTGATTGGTCTTAACACTGACTTGGTATAGACCAAGGAACCTTGTGGAGTATCAAAGGCTTGTGGGGGAGGCAATGGCAGTGTTGTGAACAGGGTGTAAGTGTAAGTCTGTAAGTCTATGTGATATTGCCTGTCTGTACTAACAGCATCGCCACTAAGCTAGGGAAGAAGCCTCACTCTTATATCGAAACCCAGAATATCCAGGCCACACAATTGAACAAGCCATGCTACCTTAGACCAAGGGAGCGTTCATACCAAAACCCGGGAGCACCCACTTCCAACAGGGGGGGGGGGTCCTAGACAGCCTCACGTAACGAGTAGGGCAGAATCGAAAGTAACCCAAGACGCGGTCAGTCGCCCGTGGCTTCCGCATCGTGACGCAGGAGTATGCAAGCCGACATCAAGGAATGTGCAGAATAAGATCCCCAAGTCTAAGCACAGACGGGGCGGAACACCCCCATCTCTCTCCTCCATGGGTCCCTTCAAGTCGTACCCGCCAAAGGGGCGGCAGACTACGGGAAGGGAGTGCGAGGAGTCCACGACACCGGGTCAAGTTACGGCTGGGGGGTGTGGCAACGGCAACGCAGCAGCCGCAAAGTAGACGGGAACGGGGGATGGTAGGGGGCAGCGTCGAGCTGAGGCGGTTGGCAAGACTACTTTCGAGACCGGGATCTTGGTAGAAGGAAGAAGACACAGAACGTTTGACGCGCAGCAGAGCATAGCACGGATCGGTGAAGCCCGGAGGAGGGTGGGTAATCCCCGGGGCGCCGCCGAGAACGATCTCGGGATGGCCAATTGGAAGCTATTGTGATGGATGCCTACGTCTCTGGACACGAAGTACGATGAGCCAGTGGAGATAGAGATATTGGACGTCCAAAGGACAGAAGTCGCAATGACTTCCGCGCGTCAGCGGGTTCAGAATGTGCCATTGATCTCATAAGGAACCAGTCCAAGCCAAGACGAGGCAGATGACCAAGTACTCGAGAAGGAGGGACCCGCAAGTTCCACGTGGAATCGCTCCGGTAGGTAAGGCTTCGAATAGAGACCGGGGGGCGGGGTGGAGTCTGGAAGAGGCCGGAGGACGAGATGAGACGGGGCAGAATAAGCGAGCAGGGCCCCGGCGATGTCGAGGACGATTGCGAGGGTTCTTCGTCTTCCGAACTACGTGTTGAAGGGGGGTAGCCTCGTGAAGTTGGTACGTCAGGATTTACGTAGACAAAGACAAGATTCTCGCCCAAAGTCAACTTTGATAATGGGTGAGTGGGTTGTCACTCTCGAACCAAGCTTTCGCAATCTGTACATGATTGCGGGCACATGCACCTCCAAGCAACGCAATGAGAAGAGCTCAAACGCGCTGAAGCAGCTTCCGCCAGCATCTGGCCGAAAGATTGGGGAATCGACAGCTCCAAATTTGCCATCAGCCCTAGGTCGATAGTAGAGTGTGCCCATTCGCCCAAGAGCAACGTTGTTGCTTGTGCCTGACGTGCGTGTTAAACAGGGGTGGTGTGCGGGGGGTATCGACCTGCATGGCATGCGGATACAGTTTAGCTATGTACTCGCGGCCGCGTAGCTGCGAGTTGACCTTGATTGATAGGACACCTCTCGCCCGGTACTGGATGCCACACCACTTCTCGATGAATCGAGGCGTCTCCCGTGCAATCCCCGACCCCAAACCACTTGGTCAGACAACGTTTGAGTGCAGCCATAGCAAAACTTGGTCGGGACTTGCGCCCGTCACCCCAACTCCTCGAGTAAGGCAGGCTTTGGGATGAAGGGCATCTCGAACCTCAGACTTGTTAAGAGAAAGGGTGTCGTTGTCCATATGATCGATGAGTCGTAGCTTGAGCTCCGCAAGGACGAAGGACAGTGGCCGATCTGCCGTCTTTCGCGGAGTTTGGAGTTTGACACCCTCGTTTTGTCAAAGGTACGTGAGTGCTGACGAAACGGCATGGCGTGTAATTCGTTCGCGTCTGACAGAGGCTGGCCCTGGTGCGCCAGACAAATGAGTCACTCGTAGAGACCTGGCTCCGTTTTTTTTTTATTCCTTTTCGACATTGGTCTCTTGTCTGGGCGAAGAAATAAGCGACGGCGAGCGTACCTAAGGTAGGTAGTGTACGGAGTACGAAGTAGCGTCTTTCCAATCCTTCGACGACGCTGCCGTGTGCGGCCCAGCTTCCGAGGGAGGGGAGTGTGCCCTGGGTGCGAAACATTCCGACTTGCCTGCGGAACGGTGAGGATTAAGCTTATTGATAGACCCAGGAATTGCCCCTAACGGCCCTCACAGAAGCAATGTTGCGAAAAACACTCGGTTGGTCCACACCCGATATTAGACCGTCGCGTCAAATGGATTCGTACGGCAGGTTTCTGCCGTGGCTTTGGTTGCCCTCGTGACCGTAAGATCCTGAAAATATCTCAATTGATCAATCAAATCGCTGCGTTATTTCTCGTCCTGAATGTCAGGTGTCGTTAAACAGCAGACTGACGCTGGGCGCGTGTGCAGTGTAAATTCCCGCTGTCGGGTGTTCTTGGGAAAAGGCAAAAGCCTCAACGTCGCTTGGAAACTCAATGGCTGGTCTAATTATCTGGAGTGGAAAGCAATGTTTGATTGGCTTGATGTCATCAAGGCGGGTCACGCTGTCTCCTTCCTCGTCAACTATTGAACAATCTTTCCTCCCTTCACTTTCTGGTTCTGTAGCCCGGGACTCCTTCTCTTCTTCATCTACACTCTGTCTGGTCATACTGAGGAAGATCCTCGGGGCAATAGCGTGGAACATTGCAAACGTAAGGTAGGTACTCGATCTCATGATAGCTAACGGTCATCCAACCAGTTTCCAACAGTCCGGTCTCTCGGCGAGTGGAGATGAACTATTTACGAAGTAAGATACCTCAGACGAACTAGCGAACAAGTTTAAATCAGAGAAGCATGGACCTTTGCTTGCTGTTGACCACGAATATGTCATCATTGCAAAGCGAGCTTCTGGAAAAATACCCCAGCAGATGTTTAAACCCTTATTTGTTAGTGTACTTCGTAAAGTAGACCGCTGATTTGACAGATTGCGTGGCTTAGCTGACGAGTCGTCTGCAACCCGGGGACTTATGCAGTGGACTTCAACATGGGAGCCCAGACCATACTATCGCCCTGGCGGAGATGGGCGGACGATTGAGCGGGACTGATTACGCCGCCATCGTCAAAATTGCTGTGCTATTTATCCGCGTCTACTTAACCTTACTGCTGGGTCGTTGGATTTCAAAATTGCGAAAGCAGAAAAAATCATATACCGCGCGAGCGAAGCGACCGATGTGACAATGTTGCAGATGAGGTGTCCTTCCCAATCCTTGGTGACTCAACGTGGTGTCCCACGAGCTCGGTCTCAGCCATGCAGCTCCATCTGAGGTATCTGCCTAGGAGGCTTGCATTGGGACAACCATTCAGAAAACGCCACAAGTCTAACAGACTCGCTCACGGCGACCATCATAGCAGAGTGGTAATATTTGGGTCGCATGCGTATCTGCTCTTAGTTCACCTGCGATGTGTGCTCCTTTGCTCAAAAGGCTCTAATGGAGGTTTCTGCCTGGAATCTGATTTCAGGGTCTGTCACGATACTGATTCTCTCACACGCAGGTGTGGCACCTGGCACCCTCTCTCAGACACGCCGACTATTTCTCTCTCTCTCGGTGCTGCAATCGGTTCCCGTACCCGCTTATAGGTCTGCCAGTCCGCCAGCATGTCTCACGGTAGGTACGTTACAGTAGGCACTGCTGTTGGCGTGGCGCACGATGAAAATAGCATCGAGTCGTTGCTATACCATCTTTGGTGGCTTCTTTCGAGGTCTACACAGGTGCATATAGAGAACTTGTCATCGGAAAGGCGTGTCGTGTTACAAGGTGCGTCATGGATATTTAGTAGGGAAGTAATGGAAGGGTAGGCACAAGTGTCATTCGTATGGAGATGCGTACCTCGCAATCCACATCGCATATCAAACTTCTAGGATCTTGATGCCGGGTCAAAGCCGTTGTCCAGAAGCCAAGGCCTTCGACCAACAAAGGCGAAGGCTTAGATGCTAGTAGGTTTCTCAGTGGTCCCTGTCGTCAATTTAAGGCAAGCAAGTGGTATGGTTCATCCAGTAAATACATGGGTGGCGGTTCCTAATTCCTAATTGAGACCGCTTTGGATTTCGGTCATCACTTTCTTTCACGGTGCATTAAACATGTCAACACAACTTCGCAGTGCACAAGCTTGGTGCTACAGTGAGCTCCATACCAGTGTAAGAGGGTTGGCCATGCAAGAATAGCCATAAGTGCAGTTGTCGGCGCGGGCCTGCCCCGTTGGACTAAATTGTGTAAGCATGCACCGACTCTCAACCTCGCAAACAGCTAGCTGCTACGCCGCGCCTGAGCATCACTAGATAAGGTAACTATGGCATACGACGAACAAAGCTTCGGTAGCCGATGCAGTATTGGCCTCGCCCGCGAGATCAGGCAGAGGGTGTGTAGACCACATCACATCTAAACCTCTCTTGCCGTCAGACTCATTCGGTATGCAGAGCTCTAAGTATGGCAGGTCCTACTGTCATCTACCCCATATTTGCTGGTTTGGTGGTTGCAAGTCTGCAGAATAGTGGCTTCAGCCTGCATGAGGTTGACTGAATATATGTGATTGAACACAGGGGCTGCCCGGTTACAATCCACGAGAGGAAAATGCCTTACTGATAACAGAAAGCGCCTTGTGCTTGGCACCATGCTCAAGGAGATGCTGCAAAGGGTTTTCCCACCAACCCTCACAACTCTGACGACGAACACTGTTGGAGTCAACTTTAACACAGCTACTTAGATGAACGCCTCAAATGCGGTCCTTGTAAACATAGATGTACGGCTGGTATGGTATGGGTTAGTCAGTTCGAGGTACCTTAGAGCAGCCACGTTCAGCCCTACAGAACCTGAGCTCTTCGGTCTGGTTGAGAAATCGATACCATCCCAACTCTCGGGGTTTCCCTTGCATACTATCGGGAAAAACTCAAGTGGTTCGCAGGCACTGCCTACTTTCCCATCCGAAAGCTATACTCTAGAGTTATTATTAATTCTTAATGATGAGCTTGCAACACTACTTACACCGGGGCCCTGACTGTTTTTGCAAACTTTCTGTTGGAAACCACAACGTTGATATGACTACTACTTCTGAATATAAAAGAATACTGCAAGCTGATTGTTTCTGAGCGCCCCGAGTTTAGCATATGCTACCAACCAAGTGGTAAGTCAATAAAGTAAGACAGCTTGCGACTGTGAGAGTCCAACCTGCAGTCTCGTATTTACTTCGGTGATACTTTCTAGTCCCGTAGTATTCGTAATGAACTTGGGTTGGCTAGCTAAGAGAGTAAGCAACCTGAAAGTTAGCCCGATACCTCGCAGCGACTCACCCAAGAGTCATGATCAGAGAATGGAGAATTTCTGCGTAGCATCAGATTGTTCTTGTCATGTCTGTCTGACCCTCGCTGCCTACATATTACCGTGGACCACTGACAAAGGGCTGAGCCATGGACTGGTGATGGGAGGACTAGGTGTTTCCCATCTTCACATTTCGACAACGGCATCTCCGCGGCAATCTTGTGACCCCCATGACCGACCGCAGCTGGTCGATGTGCGAGATCGATACAAGTCTAATACTGGTCGTTCACAGTTCGCCGGTAATGGTCAACGTTCAGCTCTGATGCAGTTTCTCCCTAGTGTGGCCAAATGAGATCGCAAGTTATTCTGAGCCTCAGACTGTCAGACGAACAACTCATGTGCCTAATGCTGTAGCTCATGCGCTAGCAACAGGTTTGCATCGTGTTTACAAGCATCCCCTTCCAAAATAGAGAACTGGGGCGAATCGGAGGGCGAGCTGCTCGCCAACAAATCCCCCAATGGAATAATTATACTGTCACGCTAACAATAGAACCGAGAGCATTCAGAAGATTTTGACTCGAAGACCCAGACAGTCAATGATCGCTGTCCAATTTTCGACCTCGTATCGTACAAGATCTATGAATATAGTACAGTTGGTGGTGTCAAGTGGTGTGAGGCTGGAAAACGGGACAGTCGCGCAACCCCTAATCGATTTATCGTAGACCCTGAGCTTCCCTCTCGGCCTTGCGCGCGGCAATCCGCTTCCTGAAGCGAGTCTCTGCCCTTCTGCGCTCACCTCCATCGACCTTGTGACCCTGCTTGTGCTCCCACATGCCCTCGGACACGACAACCTTTGCACCCGCGCCGGCCTTCAGGGGCAGTGCGCTGGGACCAGAGATCGTGTGTGAGCCGCGAACCGTGTATCCTGACGGTCTCGTGAGCTTTTCGATAGCGGCGTTGCTCACGTCGGTGCCCGCCGGCACATTGACGACCAACTTCTTGTCTGTCTTGGGGTCGCGCACGACCTTGAGGAAAGCCTCTCCGTTCTCCACGTGCTTGAAGTCGCCGCCGGCACCGAATGCGCCCTTCCTGTATCGATCGAGCCAAGTGAGGAGGTAGCGTCGCGTCCGTGGCGGTTCCAAGCCGAGCTCTCTGAGTTGTGTCGAGGAGAGGGTGAAGAGAGATTCCCATGTCGGGAACTTGTCGACGTGCTGGCTCAGGCCGCGGCCGAGAACCTTGAGGAGAGTCGGGACATCGGGAACGAGGGGTATCGGTGACGGAACGGGGGGAATTTCTCTCGTCTTATGAAGCCATCTGGCCTGGCACGTCGGCGCGACGGGGGCCTTGTGGAGGAAGGGGCTCAGAAACTGCTGGATCCGTTGAGCTCTCATGTTGACCTGAGGGAGAATTAGCATCAATTGGACGTCGTGTACAAATATTTTGGGCTAGTTGGCATACTGTATGGACAAGTGGGCTTCTCAAGCTAGATGCTTGGCCAACTTGAAGCTTGCGTGGGTGATGTCGTCGAAATCAATGGGTCTCGCGATATTCCTCGACTGCTGTCTCCCAATTTTTGTTCCGACAGACGCTAAGGATCGGGATAACTTTGCCTTAGATAAGCAGATCAGCTCAAATGGATTGTGGCCTGTGCACACAATTCTGACCGCCTTCCCTATCAGCTATTATCTGTCACCCATGCTGTCATGGCCCGCCGAGGTTCGTTCTGCCAGTGAAGCTCCGCTAAATTAGCAGTGCCCCTCCATCTGTCGCGCTAAAATCCAGGCGACTTTAGAGGCAATGCGACGCGACTTTGCCTCTTACTGCCTGCTTATCGATTAAGCTAAGTACCGAGGAACTTCCTTCCTTCCATGTCCGAAGCGCATATTGCGCTTTACCTTACTCAACATTCCCTCTTCTTCCAATTTATTGTTTCCAGAGACAATAGAATCACTACATACGAGCCACACTCATATATCATCCGTCTTTCCGGTCTTTCCTGCTTGTTCACACAGTTTCAACAAAGCAAGCATGTTTCCAGCATATACTTAAGGCCCGGTGAAGTCGTTGATAAGAGTGTGAGCAACAGTGATCAAGATCAACCATGGCTCGCACAAAGATGACAGCTCGCCGCGGAAGGCCGCTCCCAAAGACCACAGCGATCTCATTTCATGGTTTGTTGACTTTCACTGGAAAGTATGCATATTCTGACTAACATCCTTAGAACCTTGGCCGGTCGACTTTATTCACCAACTGCGGAACCTCCCGTCCAACGATGAGGCTCAACCCCAGTACCATGATGCGACTGAACCGTCTGCAAAACGATTCAAGCGATCGCATGAAGATGTGAAAGCGCTTCTTATGGCCGATGAAGAACTGGAATTCGTTCGAAAATGCCCCGAGGAAATACTCCCCTTTACTCGACACAATATTGGACCCCATTTGCAACTAGTCAGAGACAAATCGAATGAGTTTAGCATTGCCTCTCGCATCAAACCGTCAGCCCCTTGGACCAAAATTTCTGTCGCAATCCATTCGAATGCCATCACCCAGCGTCTGGCAGCTTGTCTGTATGTCTTTGCCCAGAAACAGAAGAAGACTCATGGCGAAGGCGATGTCTGGGCGGAACTTGATGTCACATTGCGCCCTCAAGGAGACTTTCTCTCCGTGGTGTTTTGCTTCAAGCTCTATTGGAATGAAACGAAGACACCATACAGCTGGTTGCGATCTGCAAATGAGCGCCAGGTTAGTCAGCGAGTCCTCAATGCTTTTCTACACGACGAAACCGCCTCAAGTTCGAAACAACAGAGCTGGTCCCCCTTGGACTTCTATGAGGCAGCTCATGTACCACCCGCCGACGATAAGACCGCGCTTTCAATCGATATCCCCGAATTGACGGCCAAACTTTACCCTTACCAGAAGAAAACGATTCAATGGCTTCTCGGCCGGGAAGGAGTTCGTTGGAGGAAGGCAAGTGCGGAATCAGTCTCAAACATTGAGGAGCTGTCTACTCCTCTGGGAGCGGATATCGCACATAGCTTCCGCAAAGTTCGGACCGAAGGGGAATCCGGACAATCATTCTACGTCAGCGATCTGTATCATGTCGTCACTACCGACCTGACAGCCTTTCAGCAAGCGGAGCGGGACATACGGGGAGGGATTCTAGCTGAAGAGATGGGCCTCGGCAAGACTCTCGAAGTCATCGGCCTGGTCACGCTACATCCCCGACCGCCGACCGATAGCCACATTGTCACGCGAGAGGGTGATGAGCTTCTGACAACCGGCGCAACTTTGATCGTTACGCCAGAGTCACTAAGAAACCAGTGGATTGCAGAGCTTGCACGGCACGCACCTCATCTACGAGTCAAATTCTACCCAGGGCGCAAGAATGTCAACTTTGAGACCGAGGATGATCTTCGTTTCGACTTGGCTTCGTACGATGTGGTCATCACCACATATCCAATCTTATCAGCAGAGGTCCACTTTGCTTTGAAGCCCCCTGATAGATCTCGGCGACAAGAGAGAAAATACGAACGTCTGGTGTCGCCTCTGACGAGAATATCCTGGTGGCGCGTCTGTCTTGACGAAGCTCAGATGATTGAGGGTGGAGTGAGCGGCGCAGCTATAGTCGCAAGAGTACTTCCTCGTGTCAACGTTTGGGGCGTTACTGGGACACCGGTGAAGAACGACGTCAAAGATCTCCACGGTCTGCTCAGCTTTCTGCGCTACGAGCCATATGCATCATCACCTCAAATTTGGAAGGCTCTGACGGAGTCACACAAGCCTCTATTCAAGTCTCTTTTTGGCAGCATTGCCTTGCGCCATACCAAACAACTTGTCAGGCACGAAATTGCTGTGCCGCCTCAAAAGCGATACGTCATTACATTGCCCTTCACCGCGGTAGAGGAACAATACTATGGCGAGATGTTCAAGACTATGGCCAAGAGTTGTGGACTAGATCTTCTTGGTGCTCCTGTGAAGTCCGACTGGACACCAGAAAAGAACGAGACTGAGATGCGAACGTGGCTTAACCGTTTACGACAGGCAGCTCTCCATCCTGAAATCGTTCAGATACGCGGCACTGGTCGGAAAGTCGGACCTATGCGAACAGTCGACGAAGTCCTGGATGCTATGATTGAGCAAAGCGAGAACGACATCCGAACCGATCATCGGGCCTACCTACAGGCCAGACTTACACGCGGTCAAATGCTCGAAAACAGCCCCAGGGTCAAAGAGGCTCTTGAGATATGGGAGAAGGTCAAGGTGGATGCCATGGATCTTGTCGCCGAGTGCCGGCAGGAAGTGAAAGCTGCTGTTGGTACGCTATCAGGGGAGATTTGTGCCGCAGCTCGAAGCGGGGACGATAGCGATCAAGGCGAAGGCGATGAGGGCGCAACAAATGCTCTTGTTGGTGAGGCCCGCACTAAACTTCGGCATGCTCTGGAGGTCCTTCATAAAGCCACGTTCTTCTGTGCGAACGCCTTGTTCCAGATCAAGAGCAATGCGGACATGACTGAAGCGGATTCCGATGACTTCAAGAAGTACCAGAAACTTGAAGACGAAGAGTACAGTAAGGCTCAGGAGGTCCGAAGAGAAATCCTCTCGGAAAGTCATGCGAGAGCAATGTCGCTTATGAATAGCCTGGGACGCCAAGCCGAAACTCAGTCTTTCGTCGAGATCCCGGAACTTACTTTAAGCGGGCCAAAGGGACTGGAAAGCGCTCCGACGCTTGACACATTGGAAGAACTTTATGGTGTTCTCAACGAGCAGGCAGATCGCATTGATGAATGGAGAGAGGCTCTCATCGGTTTGCTCTGTCAGGCACTGATCGATGAAGAGGCGGAAAATGAGGTCACTGGTGAAGAGTTCACCGACTCCACGCAGATTCAAGAGGAACTTATCGTCCATGTGCAAATCCTGCGTGCCACCATTGCTGACCGTCAGGACGCCATCTCAGGGCTTGAGAATGCGTTGGTTAGGCACGAGACCAACGTTTCACTGACTGCCGCAGAGAATGGCGATGGCCCGGCCCCAGAGAAGTTCCTGGCTCTCAATGACGCCAGGGATTCAGTGAAGCCGTCCCCAGCCAGGCATGGTTCACTTCGTCGTGCCATTGCCGAGTTACGAGCTATTTCCTCGAGGCTACCAAAGGATGGCGGCGGTCGGGCAAGCCTCGAGCACGGAATCGTGACCAAGCAGATTCAACAAACACAAGCGAATATCACCGCTCAGACTAAAGCGGCCACAGCTTTGGAACGGGAGACCGACCGTTTCACAAGTGCCATGAATGCCAGGGTTGAGTACTATCGACAGCTCCAAGCAGTGTCAGACAGTGTTGCTCCCTATGAAGGCCCCAAAGATGGACCGGCGGTGGCTTCTTGCATCGCGAGCGAGAACAATTACCGCAGAAAGCTGGATTCCTCAAAGGCGAAGCACAGATATCGTGGGTTCTTCCCAATTCATTCATCCCGATTGACACTTACCAAATATTTTTCCAGTGCTAAATCTCAAAATGGACGGCGGAAAGTCTAACGAGCCTCGGATGTGTATCATTTGCCAGTCGAACTTTACCATTGGAGTTCTGACAGTGTGTGGCCACCAGTTCTGCAAAGACTGCATGAAGCACTGGCATAAGGCTCATCAGAATTGCCCTATGTGCAAGAGGAAGCTTCGACTCACTGAACTCCATGATATTACCCTCAAGCCAAGAGAGTTGAAGCTACACGATGAGACCCCAGTTTCTGCCTCGCCTGGAGTGAAGAAAGATGAGGCTGCCAAAACAAATGGCATCTACTCCCGTTTCAGCACTGAAAAGCTTGCTCAAATCAATGACATTGAGTTATTGAGGATGTCCTTCGGGACAAAGGTCGACTCAATTGTCAGACACATACTATGGTTGAGGGAATCGGATCCCGGTGCCAAGTCTGTCATCTTCTCCCAGTAAGTACAGTATCATCAAAACCTCCTTAGATTTCTCCACTAATGCTTCACTTTGCAGATACAAAAGTTTTCTGGCAATTCTGGGTGAAGCATTCAACCGCTATCAGATAGGCTTCTCCGCAATCGACAGGCCCAGCGGTATTATGAAGTTCCAGAATGATGCTAGCATTGAGTGTTTCATGCTCCATGGCCGGGCAAACTCAAGTGGGCTCAACCTCGTCAACGCCAGCCACGTCTTCTTGTGCGAGCCGCTGCTGAACACCGCGCTCGAATTGCAGGCGATTGCTCGTGTAGACCGCATCGGTCAGAAGAGCGAGACAACCGTTTGGTTGTATCTGATTGAAGGCTCGGTAGAGGAATCAATTTATAACCTGTCGGTCAAGCGACGCATAGAACACATGGATCAGAATTCCAAAGGAAAGTCCAAGGAGTCCACTCCAGAGGTCCAAGAGCC